TCTGAGATTAGCTGCTGGAGTAGAATCAAATACAGTACATCCAGTTGGTAAAGCAATTGTAGAAGCTGCTCAGGCAGTTAATTGTCATAATGCAAAGGTGTTCATCTTATTGTTTGATTTTTTTAAGGTTCACTGCAAATATGATTATTCTTTTTTGTTGGTTTTGCACACTTAAAATTTCCAATTAGCTTTTGATCTGAAACTTGTCTCCCAGTTAGCATAGATGATACATTAGCTGGTCATATTTGTTTTCTTTTTGAAGTTTATTTTATGTTATCTTTATCTTATTTTACTTCTAGACTGGGAGGGGGGATTGACTCTAGAGATCATCGTATCCTGGCTTCTACATGATTTCAACAGCTTAAATCCTTGACACGGTATTAGAGCCTTTGTAACAAAGTAGTTAAGAATTTGATCCTTGATGACCCCATTTCTTTAACTAAAACTCAGTTTCAGTGTATAGCCAGGAAAGTTTCAGTGAGTGTAAGATAGGACTATGCTTTGTTCACACTTCAAGTTCTAAGGGCCTTTTTGTGAGAGAGAATATTTGATATTATAATAAACTATGCACGGTCCTTCACTTGATAGCTTAAACTTTTGAGTTGAAGTGACTCTTGACACTTCTTTCTATCTTCTAGTCTCCTGTACTTACCTTGGATCAGATGATTTAAGAGGAGAAGGCATTTAATGGACCTAAGAGCGATTGGATTTTCAAATTTTCTGAAGTAATTTAATCAAGTGAAATTTGGAGGAATTTGATATCCCCTGAAGAGGTGGAATTTGGGAGTATGCTCTCACTGTTGATCCCCTGAAGGTCATTATCTGTCTTACCTGTTCAGTTACCCTTGTTTGGTGGAGGACATGCCAGTTAGGAGCAATAGCTTAGAATGCAGTGTTTTTGTCCTCTTCTACAGGGAGTATCTTTTTTCCAAAAGAGATCGATTTAAAGAACAGAATTTATTGGTAGAGTACTACATTGGTAGATATTGTAAAGTAGAAGATTATTGTTAGATGTCATTTTATATTCGGATTGTTCTGCCTGTCTTTTTAAATTGATCAAAATACAACTGTCAGCTTATTTGCAAATTTCGCAGGTAGAAGATGGGACATATTTGGAAGAACCTGGGTCTGGTGCAGTAGCAATTATTAATAACAATAAGGTTTCAGTTGGGACTTTGGAATGGCTCATCAGGTATTCAAGTTATGGTTGTTCCTCTGATTCACACATGATCTCTTTAACATTAATTAATTGGAACGGGGATGCTATTTCCAATTGGTTGCAGTAAAGGGAGAACGTTTATTTGCAGTAAAATTCATTCAATGGTTCTAGGAACTTTCAATTGTATTACTCTATGGAAGTACAAAACAAAAAAGAAAGAATTTTTCTGTGTTTTTTATTGTTTAATTTTCAACCACTGATCGGTAATATCCTTTGCACAGGCAGGGAGTTAACAAAAATATTCATCAAGAAGTTGAGGACCATAGAAGTCAGTCTGTTGTTTATGTGGGAGTAAATGACACTGTAGCTGGGCTTATATATTTTGAAGACCAGATAAGGGAAGATGCAAGACATGTTGTTGAAGCTTTGTCTAAACAAGGAATCGGTGTTTATATGCTCTCGGGAGACAAAAGGAGTACAGCTGAGTACGTTGCATCTATTGTTGGAATTCCTGGAGAGAAGGTAAAAAATTCTAGACAAACCTCTACATATCCCTTCTATAAATATGTGCATTTGTAATGTTGATATTTAGGTGACATGCTCAATATCTTTAGATAACTATTGATAAAGCATAAAAAGGATTACATGGGTGCTTCACTATTGAGTGGGTAGTTTAGGTTAGTTGTCATAGACTCTCAAGTTAAGTTCCTGTTGTACCACAATATTTCTTCCGTTGTTATTTTTCAGGATTTTTTTTTTAAATTGAATAACTGGATATCTCATATTTTTGTCAATTGTAGGTGCTATCTGGAGTGAAGCCAGATGACAAAAAGAAGTTTATAAATGAACTCCAGAAAGATCAGAAAGTTGTTGCTATGGTTGGCGATGGGATCAATGATGCAGCTGCCTTGGCTTCGTCACATATTGGTATTGCATTAGGTGGAGGTGTTGGAGCTGCTAGTGAGGTGTCTTCTATTGTGCTGATGGGCAACAGGCTCTCACAGGTAATTTGTATTTACCTTGTGTTCTGTTTGATTACAGGTTTCTTCGGTTTATTGAAATTAAATTAATTTTATTTATTATTGCTGGTTATTCATATTATATTTGTTTGATTTTTACCTTTTCATTATACAATTTTAGTTTCTGTATAGCAGTACTATTTGGTAAAATATAACAGGAAAATGTTTGCGCTGGATATCTCGATGTAATCGTGTTCAGATTATTAGTATAGTTTGATCTTAAATGTATTTTCTTCATGGTGTTTTGCATGTTTATTTCAATTTTATTATTTTGCACAATTTCTAGGATTGCAGTGGGAGACTTGTTAACACGGTTTCTTATATTTATACCTCCTTGCTTATCAAATATAATAAATTTCAGAGCATTCAATCTAAATCTGCAGTTTTCTCTTGTGCTAAAAGAGAGATGTTTATCACATCATCACATGGCCTCTTGGGTTTGCATTTCTTTTTGTCAGGAACCAGAGCAATGCATAAGGCACACAACAAGTGTTTTTTCCTTCTGAAATATTGCTTCCTATAATGGATATATATATATTACGTTCCTAAATGATTTATATCTATGCAGCTGCTTGATGCATTGGATCTTAGCAGGCTTACGATGAAGACTGTGAAACAAAATCTTGGGTGGGCTTTCCTATACAATATTGTAAGTTCTGCAACTGAAACTTGATCATATCAATGCAGAATATATAGAAAGAGTACTATTGGCTCAACTGTTGTTTTTTTGTTTTTTTTTAAATACAAATTGAATTTCAGATTTGCTTTTTAATACAAAGCAACTTGTTAAAACTTAGAATTTAGAAATGACTTGCCAATGCTAGTTGGCACCTTTTTTTTTTTTTCCAATCCATTTTTTCCCTTTTGCCGACAAAGCAAGTTGGCACTACTAATTGTAAGGACCTAGATAAGGCTTGCACCCCACCTCCCTGGGTATGGGTTCAAATTCCCCTATGACCACTCAGGTCTCGCATCAGTATCAGTCCATCCCAAGTGGGGAAATTGTGTCTAAGCTTCAACTACTTTTTTGAAAGTTTTATATAATCCATAAAAATTATCATTCAGCTCTATATGTTAACTGCTAGCCTGAAAGTATCATCAGTCTCATGTTAACATGGTTCTTATTTCCTAGTGAGCTAGGAGTTAGGTCACTTGCGATATCTTTCTTACTTTTGTCGTACCAACGTGGAACTGGTTAAGTTTATGATTAATATGGCCAAAAGTAACTTTGAGGGCTTAAATGTCTATCTTTTGTCTGCATTCTGGGTTGTTGAATTTAAACATAACCGCCGCTTTATTTTTTCTTTTGTCATCGACTATTTTTGGGTAATCGAGAGCTTTCATGCAGGTTGGAATTCCAATTGCAGCTGGATTGTTACTTCCAGTAAGTGGGACCATGTTGACTCCGTCAATTGCAGGGGCTCTCATGGGCTTGAGTTCCATTGGGGTTATGACAAACTCATTGCTTCTAAGATACAGATTTTCCACGAAGCAAAAACAAATCCATGCGGCATCCCCGATGGTCGAAACCCATGCCGATACTGATCTTGCCCAAAAAGAGAAATTAAAATATGGACAGTAAAGTGATAGATGGTGCAGGATAACAGAAAACAGAACGCAGGTTCTCCATCCTGCTTTTGGGCAGAGATCAGCAAAGATATGGACATTCTTCTGTTTTTGAACAAACAGATCTGATAGTTGTTCCTATCCACTAATTAAAAAATTTGAAGCTGTCAGCTGAGAAATGAGACGCATACCAGAGCATGCTTACTTGTGGGGTCCAAAGTTAAGGTGATGTTATGGATATGACACTGAAGGACCCCAAACCCGGAATTTTATTTTATAGGAATGAGTTTAAAGGGTATTTGTCCGAAGATGAGATATTCATTCTTTCCAGCGTTTCTTATCTTAGTTCTCATTGATGGATTTGATAGTAGTTTGTAAGCCTACTTCCTTTCTAATGTGTATCTTGCCTGTCTCATCACAGTTCAAAATTGTCTTGTGCGATGTTGGCAAGTTGGCCACGTCGGGAAGGTAGATTTATTTTCTCCTATTTAATGAAAGAGATCTAAATTACTATGATGTCACAAAGGATGAGCAATTTATTCTTGATGATGATGTGTGTTATATCTCAACCATCTTCTTAAGCTGATTTTAAGAACTAAAACTTTACGTGATTACATTATAAGATTTTCGTCGTACAACAATCGAGAATATTGAATAACAAAAACAGGAATTGTTAGTACCTGTTTGTATTAGTGGTGAATAAACGTATTAATTAAAAGAGATGTTGATTAGTTGCAATTTCTGTTTGCATACCTTTTTACAAGTAATTTTAAAAAATTGATTGCCAAGAATTCATTTATTAATATTACTTATAGATGTTTTATTCTTATTATTAAAATAATAATAACTACTAATATAATTTTCATTTAATAATAATTATTACTTTAATATAGCTTTTATTTAATAGTTATTATTGAAATGATAGATGGGGAAAGTCTCATTGCTAAACTTCTATTAGATTTTTTCCACTCCTTATTACTTATATATTATCACTAATCTACTTAATACAAGAGCTACTTAGAGGTTATATTTAACCATAAAAATAATATTTTAATTCTCTAATTCTCAAATTTATAATGCACTCTTCAAGATACCTCTATTAATTATAGAGAATTCTCATTAAAAATAGTTTCAATGTATATAGTTAAATAATATAGTTTAAAAAAACCAACACACTTGTTACATTTACCCAACCTGACTAATTTTTTTTAATATTATCAAATTAGTTGTTTCGCACTTTTATTAAGGATAGAAAGTAGCAGCAAAATAACTTTTCTTCAAGCATCCCATCTTTTTTCCAACAAGCAGAACATACCATGGATTCTACCGCTAAACTATTTTAGTTTTACAGAAACTTGTCACGGAAAACAGGATAACGAAATAAGACGGTATAAAATGCCACTGTACAAAACTCTGACCATTACTGATGTCATGCTCATCCTACATTGTAAAATTACAGCCATTCACATCTTCAGAGGTTAGCCCAGCAGGTAAAGTATGGTTTCATCTCCTACAAGGAAATGGATTTGAATTTCATGGCTAAAGTGAGGATCCCATTGGTGACTAATTTATCGACATTTTTATAAATGTTCTGAGTTGTAAGCCTGTCTGAACCTTTCTTAAGCCTTTGAAACCCGACACATTTAAATTTTTATTTCAAATACTAAAAAAATTGGGAAAAAATTGACACACTCACAGGATACCTACTGAACAACCAAAGATTTTTTTGGTACTCTGATTCGTTTGTCTCCGCCTATTTCAACCCCACATTTCCAGGCAAGCGTCAAAACAATTTTCAGACCCAAAGCTAGATAGGTATTTGGCTGTAAGGGAATTCAATTAGCCGGAAATCATCAAGCAATCATTTCAAACTTCGCATTCCGAACTGCATTTTCCAAGCCTCACTCTCTGCCACCAAAGAAATTGGCATTTGCTTTATTTGGTTCCAGAACTGTGTCACACCATGTAAGTCATGCCAACCTGAATCAGGCGTGTGTGGGGCACAGCTAAATTTGCAGTCCCCCTCCTGCAATTCTTTCTCAAAAAGGCATAAAAATAGTTTATAACTAGCTTTTTGATAAACCATGAATCCTTCCTTGCTCTTATATCTCCATGACCAAGAAGATAAACAACTCCAGATTCTTTAGCCACACGCAGGAGGGATAGCTCCCTTTGAAGACTCTGCTCTGCATCAAAAGCAGGAAGACTAGAAGATGCTGGGCTCACCTCTGATGTGCTGGTTATGGAAACAGGCTTGCTTGCATTATTGTAGCTAGCCAGGAGAGGAACACTAAGAGAGTAAACACTCCCATTGGGAGCAACGAGAACCTTAGAGTACTCATCCTCTGAATCGCTATCATCCCTGTCACTTTCCAATGATCGCTCGAGAGCCTCTTGACGGACAAACTTCTCTAGGCTCTCAATCAGAATCTGCTCAAAAACTTGTTGATTTTCTTTCGGCACATCTTTGTAACCATACCTGTACGCAAGTTAAAGTTCAAGTGAAGGAACCGCATGCGTTATTTCTTGAAGTAATATGAATAGTAATGATTCATGTAGACAATAAATCCAAACTTTTCATAGGATATACCATTTGTCCTGTGCCTTTTGGTTTCACATTTACACTGAAGTAATACAAAATTAAGCTTCCTACCTGGCAATACAACGAAAGATATGGTAGCTTCTTCGGCAGACTCTCCGGAAAACGAATCTTTCATTTTGGGGCACCACTGGAACTGGAACACTCTTCATACACACAAATATAATCAAGGAATGTATTGCTGGAAGCGAGGTCAGAAAATGGCCGAAAATTGATGGAATTCCTTTGGCCAACTCATTATAAATCAAACCAATGCCAGGTGCTCGAACTGTTCCCAGATTACAGCCTAATTGCCGCATCAAATCCATTGATAACTTTTGCTTGACTTCAGTTTCATATTTGAGCTTGCTACCATAAGTCCATACATACATGATAAGAAACATTGTTATGGCAAAAACCAATATTATCCAACTTCCATCTGTAATGCTCAACAGAACCGACGAAAAATAAGTCAACTCCAATCCCAAGAAGACTGTCATAAAAAGGAGCACTTTGATTATGTGCGTCTGCCATATAAGAAGCATTATGAGGGTAACTAAAACAGATGTCATCATCATCACTCCGAGCTCTGCAATGCCTGAAAATTGTAAAAGGGTGGCAGGATATAACAAGCAAGCCAAGTCCCAAGAAAAAGGAAATAAATGAGAAGTAAAAACAATTTTCTTCCTTTCTTTTCTTTTTTGGGGAGGAGGGAAAGCAGAGAAGAAAGAAATAAAGGAGTGCTTTGTGTGCTTAGTTCTCAACCATGACAGAGGGCATTCCGAAGAAATTACTGGAGAGAATTTCAATCTGCTTACACATAAACAAATCATTTTAATGCTAACTATTCTATGATGATGTTTGAGTGTTTGACCTCAATTTTACTGTAACATTATTACCAATGACAGATTATTTATAAGCAAAATATATATATATATATAGATAAATAAAGCTCAAAGCAATTACCATATGCATTTCCAATCTCTTCGATCCTGGATATAGAGCAGACAAGCACCAGTGAAACAGCCAAAAGGAACCAGTTAATAACAGGGATATAGATCTGACCCATATATTTCCGAGAGGTATGAATTATTTTAAGGCGAGGGAAACACCCAAGCGCAATAGATTGTTTTATGCATGAAAAGGTGGCAGTCGTCATGGTCCGACTTGCAATCATTGCAGCAATGTTAGCGATGAGGAACATTGGCCAGAACACACCACCTGAAGACAGATAATTGTACAACAAAATCTCCTGTAAATCATCCAGAAAGCCATCTGTAAAGAATGAAGGAATAGGAATAATTATCAATACTTACTTGGGATAGAAGAGAAAAAAACATCACCAGCATCAGCATGGTTGTCCATCAGGTAAGCAGCTTGACCCAAATAACCCAATAGTAGGCATGGCAGAACAAGAAAGAAAAAGGTAAGCTGCAGGCAACCAACATCAATTCCATTAGAGAAAAATTATCAAACAAGAAGGATAAGGAATTATGATATAGCAGAAAGAACCCTGAGATTCTAATAAACATTACAAGACACTAGTTTTTCATATTCCATTACCTGAACTGATTGTACAGAGAAGTAGCAAAGATCTGCAAACATGGCCTCAGAACCTACAACACGAACCAGTAAGAATGTTAAGCAATAGTTGAAAAATTCACGTAAATGCCACCAATAGTTATTCAGCTGCAAATTCACCACATAATACTATCAAGAATTGACACGAGGTCAATGAAAAAGAACAAACATTAATGTTAACTGTGAGTAAAAACTGTTCACAAGTTCCACAAATGCTTATTCTGTGAAGAACAATCTCTATATTCTACTAATTACGCTTCAATTTTGATTGTGGAAAACCGGGGCTATGGGCCAGAAACTTTTTTCCCCCCAAAACCATGGGCAAGCTTATCATATAAATCTTTTCATCCTAAAGTCAAGTATAAAATAGGAAACAGCAAAACATGTCATTATCAATTTGATAAAATACCGTTGCATTGACACATCCATAGGTCTGTCTTTTCCACCAATACCCTGAATATATGGACGTTCACATAGCCAACCACACTAATCATCAGCATAAATTCACAGTGAAGGACTAAGAGGTGGCTCAGATTATTCACTCATTAAAGTTTCCCCATGATCTGTGTGTGAGAGAGAAATGGAAACTTCAGAAAAGTTCAAGCCTAAAATTCATATTGTAATGACGATACAAGACCCTAGATTATGTCTTAAGGGTCTTGGTAATTTACTAAAGTGGCTTCATGTGTCAAAGGTTCCTTGCAGCAGTGGCTCATTAACATTATCCCATTCTAACCTATACTGCTATGATCCTTTCCAGCAATAATTCATTCGGATTGTGACTCATTCTAACCCAGACCACCATCATTTTCATCCTGTAGCATCTCGTCAGTGTTGTGACTCATTCCAACCCAGCGTATTGTGGTTCCTTCTAACAGTGACTTGTTATGGTTGTGACTCATTTCAACCTAGCTAATTGTGATTCATTCTAGCAGCATGTCATTAGGGTTGTGACTCATTCCAACCATCAATTGATCAACAATGACCAACCATATGCCTAATTCAAATTCAGGTGGTTGGTAATAGTGACAAAGACAAGTTCTCCTTTTGATAGACAAACATGTCAGGGTATTGTGTCATCATTAGCAATAACCTAGTCACTTGAAAGAATAAAAAACAAAACTTTATTGCAAGGTCAGGTGAAGAAGCTGAGTATCAGCTATGCCTTTAACATGGACTATGCTATGCACATATCTATGTTCATATGCATCCATGGTACGTATGGATGGATGTGTGCATGCATGCATGGATGCATATCAACCTATATAAATACATAATACTACTCCGGTCCTAAATATAAGACCTATTTTTTAGTGTAATTTACACTACAAAATAGGTCTTATATTTAGGACCGGAAGAGTATTTTGTTTTCTATCAGTCCTCAAATTATACGGCTTCAAACTTCAACCATGTATATCTGTAGCTCAAACAGCCCCCGAAGCTTTGGCATCATAATGAAAAGGTTTTACAAATTATACAGGCATCATGTCTAGTAAGAACTTAACCATCCGTTTCACAGCAATCTGATTTTCCATATAATAAGCCTTATTAATAAACTCCAAGTATACACATAACAAAAAGTCCAGAAACTTATATTTAGTTTTCAACTTTAAACCAAACCGTCAGTCTTTGCAACCATATGAATTTAACTATTTTCCACCATAAAAGGGGGAAAAAAGATTACTCCATCTTTTGATTCTTCAAGTAAGAATCCATACATCTTTCTTCTAGTCAAGATTAAAAGTTTGAACACTCAACTCTTCTAGTGTTTATTCATGTAGTTGTAGGTCTTGTTTTCAATTTCTTACTTAAATAATCAAGGCAAACCCCTTTCTTGACAAGACCATACAAGACACCCAATGATGGAATATAAGAATGATATATATTTCGAAGAAACCTCGTATAGAAGGAAATCTAAGTTTTATACTTTATTACTTCTTGTTTTTATTTTATTTAGCAAGTGGATTATTTAACCATTACATGTATTAAATGGGCTGCAAGAGAGATGTTTCCTTCACTCAAAGGAAACCTACTAGAAGGAAACCTTTTATTTTGTTTATATGTTTCCTTCCTGAGAATGAAACCTTAGCAGTGGCTTCTATAAATAGCCACCATGCAGCACATGTGAGATAGACTTGGATGATAATACAAGAAGAAGAAGAAGTAGTCTTATCCCACCAGGTGGGGTCAGCTACGTAGATTGTATGGCATTATTGTGCTTTATCCCCTTGTTTTCTTCTCTTTCCCCTTCCTTCCTATCCCCCTCAAGTTATTAACATTCCCCCTTCTTCAAAGTATAATCCATCCATTGTACCCCCAAAAAAAAAAAAAAGTATAATCCATCAATCCATTCATCCTTCAGTTTTAAATTCATTACTACAATCAAAGTTGACCAACTCATGATCCTGTCAAGCACTTTAACCTGAACCTTTCCTTTCCTACACCACATAACAGAAGATTCAGGCTCAGTAGGCCTCAAAATTATGACGATTCCACATCAGATGGTTAGAATTGTTGAAAACTTGGACATTGATCACATAATAAAAGCTAGCAATATAAGGACATTAAAACAGAGGGGGAAAGGCCTGCTAGTAGAAACAATCTACAGACATTTAAGGCGAGACAAAATACATATTACTGCATCTCTAGCATCTACAATTCTGCATTTGTGTGTTTACCCGATGCACACAGAAGACAGCCCCCTAGAGAATACCATGCTTTAGTTGAATTCCTCTCAAAGAAGTGATATATATGGATAGGATTAAATGCCCTCAAGACGCTGCTGTCATATTTGAAAAGATTGTAGATCCCAATGCCAGCAAGAGAACAAAACCATATTAACAAAGCTGGTCCTACAAGAAGTCCCACTTTACTTGTTCCATACTTCTGTACACTGAACAAAATGACAAGGCAGGCAACTGAAATCATCACCACTTTATCTGCATAATCAAGGGAGAAGATTTAAGAAATTAACTCCTTAATGAAAAAATGAAGTCTGAATAAGGGCATCAATCAACTTAGTCACATGCATTCCCCCCCCCCCCCCAAAAACCACCACCCAAAAAAAAATCTAAGAAAACAGAATGCATTCTATTCACCTAAATCAAATTGGTAGATAGAAATTATAATATAGAGAAGTGTTAGAACCGTATTCTAATAATTAGTGAAACCAATATCTCATAAAAGGACTGACAAGAGAATGCCCAAAAGCCAAGACCCTTGCTACAAAGTGAGAAGAGGAAGACAAACGATCAAAAAGCATAACAAAAAGCTTAAAACGAAGAAGATTGGCAACGCTAGCTCCAATTTGTTCCCAACTTCGGGGGTTTCAGAAAATTTAATGTGCAATTTAACATTTTTTTTTAATATTATTTTTTGATTATAAGACGTCATTCATTAGGTTTTTTATTATCTTATTTAAGGGTAACTGTATTTTTCACATCTTAATAGGTTTTTATTAGAATAGGATTATTCCTAGGTATTTTATTCAATATTAAAGTTTTAGATACTCATCATTTTCATATACTTTATCATTAACTTTTAAACCTTCGAGTGGCAATGTTTGTTGCCCCTTTTTCATTCAATAAAGTTGAAATCAGAAAAATTAATCAGACATAACATTTAGCCAATTTTTGCAATCCGCCAGTTTAATCAGGCATAAACATGCAAGTAGCATATGAAGTTAAAGAGTGATAAGTAAAAAATTCATTTGGCTCATTTCTATAACCTGCACAATGACACAAAATTGAATAAGTCAAACCCACAGATTCTATTACTGACAAAGCACGGGTTAAAAGAACTCAGTTCAAAGAAATGTAAGCCTGAATTCTCCGGATGTCCCTACAGATAACATCATTAAATAAAGGGATTGATAACTAATACAATTGAAGAGTTGATTGATAGGTAAAGGCATTACCTTGCTTGATTGCATCTACCCTCACCTTCAAACCGCCAACAGAAGAAATTACTGCAGTGACAAATGCAAATAAACTAAGAACTAAGATAAAGAGGTAAATAAAAGGTGGGATCATTAAGAAGAAGACTTGGCCATAAACACAAGCAGTAAAGTATCACTTCAAGTGCGGAATAAGCACAGGCTGAAAGTCCATACACATGAATATAGAAGTTTGGGAAAAGTTACAAAAATACATAATATAACAGCATATAATAACCTGATATTGCTGGCGTAACAACTCCGTTAGTTATTACCATAGATGTACCAGCCAGTACTAATGCTAGTAAAAGCTTCTTCAGAGTCAGTGAAGTTTCAAGTCTTTCCTTGATTTTTATTGACCTTTCAAGCTCAGGAGTTGGCACCTTTAGCCTAAATTTTGATATGGGAGCGTCTGATGACATGCGAGCATCTAACGGCAACTGATCCGGAAGAAGACTAACCTTAGCATGACGACAAATCAAGGAGTACAAGGCAAAAGTGCCACCTGCAGTGGTTTGGAAACAACTATGACATTGAAATTTAGGACCAAACATAAAGAGAAAGAAAGGGAGGAAATAACAGATCACTGAAGACTAATATTAAAGAATAACAATATCTATAATACCTTCACCACCATCATTAGCCCATAGAACAACGAGGACATACTTCAATAGAGGAAATAAGATTAAGGTGTACAGGACAAGTGATAATGCTCCAAGAATGTCTTCATTTCCATCAATAGGGGCCTTTCTAAACATGACACTGAAGGTATATAATGGGCTTGTTCCCACATCTCCAAAGATAAGACCGAGGGTCTTAATAGCCAAATAAATACTCCTTCCCACACCCACATTCTGCTCTAGGAAAAAAAATGAAGATAACAAGTAAAAAGCTACACTCTGTATATCATTCCACACGAATTTACAGCTACATATTTTGTCAATCAAGCAAAAAAAAAAAAAAATTCAAGCGGTGGCCAGTAAAAACTGAGAACAAGCTATGTAAACATAGAGGAAAATAGTCTGCATCAGCGAGCTACAGCCTTAAATTCATAGAATCCAGGAACTCACTAAAAGGTTTTACCGACGCCTAAGACTTATTTGGAAATGAACATAAGAGATAACTTTCAGATGCAAGGGAAAATCAGAAGATTCCGGAAGGAGACGGGGTAAGCACTGATTCATAAAGGTAAAGATGAGTTCATTGCTCACATGACACAGTTCCAAGATTAAGATGAGTAAGGTGTCAATTCTGCAAAGATTAACCGGTCACTCTGTCTCTTGAAGATCCATTATCCAGTTCTACAGAAATTTTAACCGAACTATGCTCAAGTAACATATGTGGAAGAGTGTTGCTGACGTAGAAAGACGCATCATTGGTTAACTAAGTAAGCTCATTAGTAACCGATGGGCTTTAAGAAGACGCAGAAGTTTAAATGGAAAAGCGAAACAAGCTATTCATATTTTAACTTCCTTTCCATCACCCAAAATGCCTAGCGAACTTCCACATTCATAGAAAATAGAGTAAGAAAAAAGGTTAAGGCACACAAAAGAAGGAAGTAATGCAATTCATAAGAAAACATTAAATAAATGAAGTCGAAACTACCTCATTGTCACTCCTCTGAGTACCAGAGACCTCAAGAGCTTCAGCATCGAAGGGATCGATTCGTGCGCCAGTCCTAACCAGTCTCGGCTCATCGTCCTCCTCGTCCTCGGAATCCAACATGGTATAATGCCGCGAATAAGCGTCATCCTCATATTCATCTTCATCGCACTCACCCTCCAATTCATCCTCCTCCTGAAAAACCCACCGGGATTCAATGGAATCCATGGAAGACCCGCCAATGTTCACACCACTCTCCAATCCTCCCTCCACCGTCATGCCCGGGAAGAGAAAGCTCAATCGCAAGGTTTAAACGTGACAACAGCTACAAATACATCAAAGTGAACAGAAAAAACTATAAAATATCAGATTTTGCCATTTGAAGCAAAACTGGGAGACAAAACCAGTTAAGTCTGTGCGATTCAGTGTGCCATTGTCGGATTCATGAGGTATAATTGCATTCAGTTTAAGTTGGCGGTCACGCTTACGCCCTCCAGGACAAAAATGGAGCGGACATGGGGGTGTATGTGTCCAACTCGTAGGCCGTAGCTTCTTTTCGAGTTAAAAAGGTCAAATTTTGATCGGACAGTACACGAACAAGGTGGCAGGGAATCACATCACCGATTCACCTCATCTATATATATATCACTCCGACTTTATTCCATGGCGAGAGAGACAAAAGTAGAAAGAGATTGATCAGATTCAGCCTGTACCTCCAGGTCTTAGAAATTTTGGCATCTTACAGATAAACACAAGACACGAGTGGTAAAAAATCTGGACAAACCAGTCCAGTGTTCTTTTGGACAGTTTGAGTTGACACGATAATCTTTCTTTTATCCGTATTCACCGCAATATTTTCTAGCTTTTTTTTTTCTGCCAACACCTATTACCTGCAGCTTAATAAATTATTTAAATTTTGTTTATTATTAATATGCCAACAAAAATTAATATCTATAAATTTAATTTATAAATAAAGTAATTTAACTTGCAAATATCAAATATTAACTTATAAATTTAATCTGTAAATGACAAATTTTGCCTTGCAAATATTAAATCATTTAGGACATGAAATTTGAGAAAAATGTTTCTATTTAATTTTTTGTTTTAAATTTACGGGTAATTTCCCCCTTTCAATTTGCCAAACATGTTCCTTTCAATTGAAGTTATATAAACTAAAATTATATCATTTGAATTTCATTTTATCATGTTTTTTATATTTTGATCATTTTTAAATTAAAAATGAAAATGAAAAACCTTGAGGTTTGACCAACTATTGGGGTTCATCGTACAGAAGATTTATGTCAGTTTCATTTTCAAATAAGCTCCCTCTCCTTTGAGGCGTCTAAAATAATTGGCTCTGTTAATTCTTCAGCAAATAGAATCATCACATAAATCACATCAAAATAGAAAATGGGAAAGACGGGGAGGAAAAACATGGGAAGATAATGATACTACCTCCGGTTCTAATTATAAGACCCAGTTGACTTATTTGAAGAGATTAAGGAAGTAAGTTAAATTAGTTATTTGTAATAAATAAGTGTTGACATTCCTAAAATATCCTTGCTAATTAAGTGTATTAGCTAGAACTATCATTATTAGAAGGACTATCTTGGAAAAAAATACATAAATATGAGAGAAAAAATGGATTGTGGTCTTATAATTAGGACCAAACAAAAAGTCAAACGGGGTCTTATATTAAGGACCGGAGGTAATAATATTTTTGTTTGCTTTGATAAGCCTAATCCATTCTTTTGGTAAGCCTATATCTATTCTTCAGATTTATATCACATATGCATATTGTGAACAGATGATGAAAACCTTATTTCTTTTCTCTCTTGGCCCCTTTCTTCTATGGGGATTGAGTCAGTAAAAATTACAAGAGAGTCAAAATTTTAAGAATTAAAGGATTAATTGTTTCCTCCCAAACTAATGCTAACTTTCTTTGAAGAAATAATATTCTAAGGTTAATTCATAAAGAGATTTGGCATTTTTTTTAAATATGATATCAATAAATTCTTGGATGAACCATTATTTAAAATAGTGCTTTTTCCTTCTCCTCATTGTAATAAAAAACAAATATTTGAAAGTTAAATCGCATTATCGCATCACACTGTGCATCATATTCATTAGACTCATTATAAATAGTGTGGTTTGTTAAAAAGTTTAAATTAATACTACCTCCAGTCCTAATCATAAGAGTCAGTTGACTAATTTGAGGAGATTAAAGAAGTAAGTTGAGTTAGTTATTTGTCCTAAATAGGTGTTGTCTTTCCTAAAATATCCTTGCTAATCAAGTGTATTGACTAGAACTATGATTGTTAGAAGTGCTACTTTGAAAAAAAAAAGTATAAATATGAGAGACAAAGTGGATTGGGGTATTATATTTAGGACCAAAATAAAAATCAAACAGAGTCTTATATTAAAGACCGGAGGTAGTATTTTATCTTTAATGTGCAATATGGAATCCGTTCAATACGCATTGTAAAAGCTGGACGCCATATGTGTGTGAATGTGTATGTAAACCATTACATTCCTCCTATTTATGGTTTGGGTTAATTATTTCATTCATCCTTCTATTATTTTTATTTCAAATCTATTTATTGATCTATCTATAGGTCCCTCAACAGGTAAAATAATCTATATTTTTATTGAATTATAAGGATCAATTTTTTAAATGGAAAAAAACTTAAGAAATCAAAACCTATGATTTTAAACTTAAGAGACTAACAACAGAATAAAAGTAAATTCAAATGACCAAAAATTATATTAACCCATAAAATCAATAACGACTACTATTTTGTAATTATTTATCTGTATATGCATTTATTTTTAGTAGTTAATTTAGTTTCTTCAATTTTATGCAATTTTAAAATAAATTGTATAATGTATAATTTCTTACAATTGCAGACATGCCATTAAAAGAAGCTATAACACATAAATATATATAACGTTGACATCCTTTTATTTTAAAAATTCAGTTATATAGCAATAATTAATTATTATTAAATTTATTTTATTATATAAATTTTAAATATAAGAATTATTTTATATATTATATTGTTTTTTGTCAACAACAATTACTTAATTAAAACAGTGGCAGAATCAGTAATTCCATGCAAAGTACACGAGCAATTACTCAATGCGATGAAAATATATAATTTGGTCCCGGGAAGCTCCTCATTCTTCAAGAAAGTTCTGCGTTCCCTACCGCAAACCCTAATCTAATCTCATATTTTCTTCGTCCGGCTTCTCGGTCCTCTGCACTTTAACCTTCAACAATGTCTCACTTTGGAAGGTCGGGTCCTCCGGACATTACCGACACCTATTCGCTTCTAGTTCTCAATATCACATTCCGTAAGCTCCATCTTTTTTTTTCCCCCAACCCGTTGTTTGTGTGTTTCATAGGTTTTTGCTGTGGTCATGGTGCTGTGAGAATCTTGATTTTTAATCGTTCCCTGTATTCTATGATCAGGTACAACCGCTGATGACCTGTTTCCCCTGTTCGATAAGTATGGCAAGGTCGTCGACATCTTTATTCCCAGAGATCGGAGGTACTTTTTTTTTTTTAATATTGACTCTTAATTATCTAGAAAACATGCATATATTAAAATTTGAAATTCTTGTCTTTAATATGGTTTCGTTGTCAAAGACAGCTTTGTATTTGTTCTCATTTTTGGCTACTCTTGGAAGTGATATCTAAATAGCTTTAGTCTAGCTTTTATTTTTCAATTGCTGCTTGACGGCAATAATTGTTTATGGCCTGTCAATGAATCTATTGAACTGTTTTATTTAATTTTCTTCCGTTACCATTACAGAGTTGTGTTATAATGTCTCTAGTTCTTATGTTGTCTAATGGTGAAAATAATACGTATGTCCCTTCTGAGGAATTTTGATTTTCTTTTGAATTTTTCTGTGGTGAAGGACCGGTGAATCAAGGGGTTTTGCATTTGTGCGTTATAAGTATGCTGACGAGGCACAAAAGGCTGTGGACAGGCTGGACGGTATAAAACTTTCTGATTAAGATTTCTGTTTGTGGTTTTGTTTTTTAATTAATGCAAAATGCGAAATTTTAACATTTTTGTGGTACAGGAAGAGTGGTCGATGGCCGCGAGATAACTGTTCAGTTTGCAAAATATGGGCCTAATGCAGAGAGGATGTGAGTTCTGAGCTTTGTTGTACTTTATAGTGCTGTAATGGTTGCTGTTTGTTGATCCATGCACAATTTTGCTACGCCTTGTTCCAACATTTATGGTATAATGTTATCGTTAAGGAACTGCTTTCAATTTTTCATGGATTTGGTATGGGTATTGTTTCTAATCAGGTAATACATAAATAAAGTGCTATACATTATATACTCATCTGGAAAGCCAATGAATTGAGAAGAAAGGTTTTCACACATTATGAACGGTTTATTTTAATGTTGCATGTGGTAACAATCTCAGAATGACTTATTTTCGCCTGCTTTTGCCAATTTTAAAATTCAATATGTAGTACACGATGACCCAATTATGCCCATCGTATATTGTAGCCAGACATTTTACATTGACAATCCATTAATAAGATTGTGTTTCATTCCAGTAGCTTTGTTGTTTTTGAGCTGCATATCTAGATTGAATTCCAAATAATATATGGCATTGCTTACCCATGTCTTACATAACTTGAGATTTGATTTGTTGTGGTTAACCAATACTAAATTCAGTTTTATTTTATTTACAGTCACAAGGGAAAGATTAGTGAAACGTTCCCCAAGTCTAGGTACAGGTCAAGGAGCCGCAGCCCCAGGAGAAGGTGCTGGATATTTTTTTTCTGTTTTCTGGAGGTCTATGCTTTTAATTGTGTGCTCAGTGGCCCAGTTTAGACCTTATTTGCTGTTTCACTGCTCATATTAAAAGGATGTGGTGTTGCTGATGTTTCATGAACAAGCTTTTCTCTCTATTTGGAAAAACGTGGTCTAAGATTATGGGTAAAATATGGCATGAGGGTACTTGTTTGCACCCAGCTATAGAGGAAGCAAGCTTGATAAAGTCAGAATATCAATTGAGGGGCTGCTCTTATGATCCTAGAGGAAGCATGATAAGATATTAATATGTCAAATGTGATAATGGTTAGTGTCTGATCGTGCTATGCATCATGTAGATTGATCCCCCTTGTGTAAGAATTTTGATGGTCAAGTTAGAGAACACTTTAGTGTTTACTGGAAGAACCTCGTCTAGCATTAGCTGAGGTGACTTGATATATATCCAAATGATCATATGATTGGTGAGATTTTTGGTTTAGCACCTCATGACTTCTGAAATTTTCACTAGGTTGATAATTCCCCCCCCCCTCAACCTCCAATTTTGCTGATGTAATTAATAGCACAAACTTATCGTGTAGAGGATGAGTTCGAAATGATCTTGGGTTTCCACATATGATGTGTTATCGCATTCCTAAAGTGTAAGAACTGATAGAATCTAGTCTTTGCATCATTCCTGTGATATTTCTAGACATCAATTGTAGTGGTTGCTTAATCATTTGCAGGTATCGTGATGATTATAGGGACAGGGATTATAGGAAGAGGAGTCGCAGCAGGAGTTATGATAGGTATGAAAGGGATAGGTATCGTGGAAGAGACAGAGATTATCGTCGCAGAAGTAGGAGCCGTAGTGCAAGTCCTGATTACTACAAGAGTCGTGGAAGGGATCGCTATGATGATGATCGCCGAAGCCGAAGCCGATCTGTGGATAGGTTTTAAGACCTTGATACTACTTTAAATTCCAGTTGTTTTTAATATTAAAATTTGAAGTTCTGTACATATTTTAAGTTTACTTTATGAAATTTTCATGATTGTTGCTTTTAAAACAGTCGCTCCCCTGTACGACGCAGTCTTAGTCCTCGAAGGAGTCCTTCACCTCAAAGGAGTGTTTCCCCTCAAAGAAGTAGTTCTCCAAGGAGGAGCCCAAGGGGTGAAAGCCCTGAGAGTCGTGATGGACGATCACCTACACCTCGCAGTCGCAGTGTTTCACCACGGGGTCATCCCAGGGATTCAAGAAGCCCATCGCCTCGAAATTCTAATGGAGATGTATGTAAAATGTCTTAATGAAAATGTGCAATTATTAGACGTTTGCTATCAAGTTCTTCAATAGAATTATGATTTCTAGAAGCAATTTTATCAATGTCTTAATAATGTGGGGCTAAATTGTTTTATAAAAGACTGCTTGTGTGTTATTCTGCATTAGAGAAGTTGATAGCAAATGCTTGAATACTTTTGCTGAAGTTTTGTCCTCATCTTTGTGAGTAATATTTATTGTAGGAGAACATTCTGAACCAGTTTATTTTGTTGTTCTACTATATACCTTTTTTATTTTTTATTTTTTACAGGAATGAGCACGGGTTTTCGGATGAAAAATTGTGGAGACACCATGAGCTTGCAGTTGTAGCTGCTTTGATGATGTTGGATCATTTGATCGTTGTTCATGATCTTGTCGGACTTCCTTGGTGTTAAAATGTTACTATATTTGGACCTAATGTGTCTTCTAGTGGTCTATCTGGTAACTATTGGACCTTGTAGTTAATCGATTAATATTGTACTGTTGTTGAAGGGTTTTGTCATTTTAGTTTGTTTCGACTTTAACAATCTGTTTCTTCACTTTTACTGCCCACTTATAGGGAAGCGTGATCATGATTTAATTAAAGCTTAGTTGATAAAGCTCTCCTGAATTATAATGAACTTGTTGGGTTTTATAGTTATGTTCGGGTAAAGTGGTGGGGGCCTGGTAGGCTCATGTTGGCATTGTTGCTGTTGATGCTGTGTCTATGTCATTGATGGTTGGTCGTGAATTTGACGCTCGTTGCAAGAGAATATGCTGGTTTTAGGAGTATGATTGTTTTACCGATATGCTGATTTGACAAGCAATTAGTTGACTTGATTTATATCCCAAATGATCATTTGATTGGTAAGATTTTTGGTTTAGCTCCTTATTACTCTTCTGAAATCCATCATAATCACTGAGAATTCTGATCTTTGATCTGGTAATCATGTTTGGTCTTCACTGACAAAATAAATATAATAAAGGATTCTTGTTGCTGTGATGGACACGAGATGAACCTGTAATGAGATGTAGCGGATGCCCCATAGGAGATGCGCCTGGCATTCATTAATTCAGATGCAGACACTAAACAATAAGTTGTGGATACCGAATATTAAACCTAATATGCTGTGGTGTGAGATTTCCAAGTTCAGCGATGGGGGACAATGGTAATAAATCCGTGGTTACTTTTTGGGGTGATTCACTTGATATCAGCTTCTTTAGCATAGATAACAATTATAACTTCTGCTACTTAATGTAGTGAGATACGTTCGTTGTAGCAGAGATGGTGGCTGATGCATCTTTTGTGTGATATGCGTGTGTTCGTGAGTAATTTGAAGAATTAACAAATAACTGCCTGTAGCTGGCTGTTGCTGCCCTTTTGCTGGGGTCGGGGTTTGCAATGGTATTAGCAGTTGGTTGATGATGGCTGGCTAGCTGGTTTCTGTTGATTGCAGAGCCTCCTGAAATGAATATTTTTATCATTGAACTGGTGATCGGTTTTGTAGTTTTGTTTCAATGCCTTCTTTTTTTTCCTTGGATCATCATTGTGGTAGCATGCTTATCTTTTCTAGCAGTGCTACCTGTCTTTTCCAGTGGCCCTTTTTGGCATTAGTTCTTGCTCATGATCACCATCACTACGTTGTGGGGTGATAATGTCGTGCAACTGAAAAGGCATAATGGTTATCTTGGGTATTTGATCTTTTTTAATTATGTGTCATCTAGCAATGCATTTTAAATTCTTGATTGCTGATTAGCTTGATCTTTGATATATTGAGATGAGAAAAATAGATGCATAATGTTTTGTTCATCTTCTTCGTCTCTATCTGAATCATTTGGTCCATCAGATTTTGTATTGTATATGCTCATCTATGTTGTTTTTTTGTTGAAAAAATTAATGCAAATGATGTTATATGCTCATCTATTGTATTTGCCTCACTGGAATTATATTTTTAGAAAGAATCCTATTGTATTTTAAGCTGGATTGGTATTGTATTTTTAGCCTATCTGCTTTCTTGTCGTTTTGTGAATATGCTTAAGATTTGAATGATATGAGAATTTGTCAATCGCTAATTGCTTGAACTAGAGCTTTTTCGTTGCTTAATGTGAGAAACCGGTACTGGTCATGGCCGGTGATGTAGTTTGCCTTGTATAAGCTCCTTAGCTTTTATTCTCCGTTTCAGTCAATCGTGGATATCAAGGTCCCTTTTCATATCCATATTCTCTGCCCCCTTGAGCACTTCAATGTTCAAAAATATAATGAAGCTGATCTGCATGAGTGCAAATGGCTGGGCCCATAGTTTCACAAATATTCTGGTGTTCTTTTCTAGCATATGGAGAAGATTAAGATTTTGGCTTGGATATCCACGAGTGAATCTTTTTTCCTCGCTGCTCTGAGAAAGAAACTAGGAGTTAATTCAATTGGTTTTCCATTAGTTTGCTGTTGATGTGGTCCAGTTATGGCCTTCTAGGTATGAAATTTCTGTGGTAATCTGGTTTGTGTATTGTTCGTCTCGAGAGAAAGGGCTTTCCTTTTTGTTTTTTAAATTAGAGGAGCGGATACTAATAGCTTGAGGTTACTGCTAGGATTGAATTGACAACCGACTCTTATTAGGGAATTTTCGTGCTATTTGGTCGGAGCATTCCTACTGGAGTAGGATAATTACTGCCTCCCATGGTGAATTGGTGCTGTATTAGTGTTGCAAGTATAGACCCCACTAACGCGACCCTCACAGGGCCCTAGTCTTGTCTGTTCCACGTGGCCTCTAGTATCAGCATTGATCTTGCTTATCCTTGTTTTCTGCAAGACAAGCGATTTCGTCAGATTTGGAACACCCGTTGTTCTCCTCTTATAGTCTAAATTGGCAAATAGTAAATTGTAAATTATGCATGTGATATTTATCTGAGAGTGATTCGTGATGGTGGTTTCGTCAACTGCTAATGTAATCGTCACTTGATGATACGTGAATTCATATGATCGTATTAGTTAAAACCAATTACTAGTTAGATTATTATTCCTTTCCAAACTACGCTCATTTAAGTATTAGTGTTATGTAAGATATGTTATAGTTAAGTTCTGTACCTCTAAATATTTTTCTGTACCCCCCAAGTATCATGGTGAGTTTTTTTTTTTTGGGAGAAAATCATATTGTGCTTGTACTTTCTTTCAATGTTTAATTTGGTACGTGTTTTTTCTTCTTGATAATTAAATTATTTTAGTTTGTAATTTTGGTCAGTAAATCAGTTATTTAACGCTTAAAGGTAATCAAAAGTTAACGTGGGTCAAATTATAGGAAGTACTACTGATGAATTATTTTTATTTGTAATGCATAGAATATTATTTTAGGTCTAACGGAAAGGGATTAGTTGAAAAGATTTCATTCTTTTTCAGAAGAGGTGTTTGATTTTCTCTGTAGTAAAAATAGAAGTATTGAGATTTTTACTATTATCAGACAAGTCAAATGGTTTTGGTTTGAGACGTGGGCTTTATTTTTCACAATAGAAATACATGATCCTTTCTGGGGGTGACAAGTTGCATATCGTTAAATCAAGCAACGAGCAGGCAAGAGTTCAGAACCGTTGTAAGCATTTAACCTAAAAGCTTGCAACTGTAATAAAGGGGGGGGGGGGAGGTCTAGCAATCCGGTCTGCAATATGCGATCTTTTCAAAGAAGTTTTGGCAACTCAATCGGTTATCAAATTGGCTTTTTTAGGGATCTTAAAAAAAGATCAAGTACCTAAGGATATTTTTTACCATAATGTCACAACGTTGGTCAAGGGATGTAGCGTTGTTATTGAAAAATTACTTTCCTCATAATGCTCTTCATAAGAGTAATAAATGATTTTGTCTAAGATCATTTTTCAAATAGGCTTTTTCCTTGGTCATTAGTTGGAATAACAATGCTTAAATGCCTTTGAGAATAGATATGTCACTTAAAATCTTGTATGAACCATAATCCCAAATGAAACCGCTGTACGATGATAATACAAAATCAGAAGGTAGAACACTAGAATGTACAAGACACGAAATTTTCATGACATTCATAATCTTGTATGAACTTGCTGTATAAACTTGTCTTTAAGCGTACGTCCTCCATAAAAAACTTGGTTCATGGCTGCACTCTTACGAGAGAGTCCAACCAAAAAGAAAAAGGCATGTGTTCCATCTTTTCGGTTGCTGCAACATTATGGCATAAAAACACATCAGTTTAGGAGCTACATGTCATCTAGTCAAGACCATAGATGTTGCTGGGAGGCAATCCAAGGTATATGATCTTGGCAAATGATGGCGAAATGAGATTTCGTTCCTGTTAAGAATGCTTCACACTTTGTGCAAGTCATGTAGCTGAGCCACACTTTCTGACCCAAGTGGAATTTTCTAGAGTAGAGCTGAAAGGATGCCACATTGGCTTGAGGGGAATACATTTAGAAGATATAGAGATATTGATGATTAGGCAGTAGCTATTCATTTTCATGATAAGCACCAAAATCAAATCCTTGTTGCTGCAAAATATATATATACACACACACACACATATATATATATATATCCATATGCACTCACACATCAAGTTTCAATCATTCCAAGAATTTCTACAACTCCCACCGTATCATAAAGAACTCCAATCATTTAACCACAACAAAGGAAAGCAGTTGAGTTATTAAATTTGGATGAAAATGAAAAATAATCAAATTCACAATAAAACTATGAATTACTACTAAAAGGAACTATGAATTATATATTGAGAATCGAGAAAAAAATTGCATCAAATATTAAATGAGCTATCTTAAAGAACAAAACAAAATATTTCACTTGATTGCTTGTCGTAAGAATCACTCGTTTCTTTTAGAAAGTGATTTATAATAGCAATCGAAGTGGCATATTTGACTAATGATAAACCCATAAATGATTATTTTTCCTTCAAACGACCTTATTCATAATTAAGAGTCAAACATTGCAGATTTTAAGTAAACTGCTGAACTTTATTTCCCTCACAATATCAATATCCCCTCCTGGGGCATGATAATCATTTGTCCAACAAGAAGTAAACAGTCATTTCTTCAGGAAATGTGTTTCATAAACCAGTTTATTGTCAAAGTTTTACTCCACAAAAACATGGACTGAATTGAGTTTAACGAGTCTTACTCTTGAAAGCTAACTCCAGAATTAATGTCAAATAATAAGGCAAAGTATAGCCTGCGACTTACACAATGCTACATCGAAAAACTGGGAATGGGTGGAGCCCAGTTCCACAGTTCCATCTCCAATCCTCCGCTTCGTTGGCTCCACTTTCAGGAAAAAATTTCACTCAACCCACTTAATGCGTGCGGTGACACTGCCAGATATCTATTTACACCTAGCCAGCAAACACATGAATTCCATTTTGAAAAGTAAAACTCTAAATTCATCAAATCACCATAACGAAATACATCATTAGAATCGTACAAGAATATTCTAATCGGAACAAGAATGGGTGTCAATCGAATGACTAAGAACCTGCAGAATTACAAATGGTTTGTGTCAAAAAGGGGGGGACATCTCATTGCTCCTAACTCTCAACTCCCAAGTGAACATTTCCACGTAAAAGAAATACAACATGGAACAATGTAACATAAACAGACAGTTTCAAGGAAGGTTCTACATATAAGCACTACAACTCTAGCTTCTGAAAAAGAAGATACTCCCACATATGTGCCGAGATCAAGTCAGTGCTTCTTTGTCTGTACATAACCCTATGATGTCCAATGACCACACGAGTACTTCCAAGGGTCTATACACATTCCACAGGGAAAGAAACCCCTCAACTCGCGTTTGATGCAGTCTCTTTAACTTCATCATATGTGCCAGTCTCCTCATTAAACGAGTACCTAAATTCATACAGAAAGAAAATTGTCATTGTGCTAATTATAATTTAAAAAAATTAGTAATAACGATAGCACTGGAACTCTCGTTTGATTGGAGACAGTTGTTTTAAACATACCATAAAACGTATGTAACAGGCTTAATTTATTGATAAAAAGCAGCAGAATCCCTTCATAATAAGAATTATGAATAACTTTCATTAATCACTAACAAGTGGTTCTTTGAAGTAAACAACAGATCACCTCAACATATTCCAGCAAGAATCATATCTATAGCATCAACACAGATAAAATAGAAATTGTTAATTTCGCGAATTAAAAGCTGTCTTGCCCCTCAACAAATTAAAGAGGTCATTTTCTTCTAAAAAAACAAAATTAAAGACATCAATATCAGGATGAAAGGTGAGACTCTGAAACACACACAGGCACACAATAGGAGGAATGCACAATACCATTGCCCAGATGCTGCAGAGCAATAAAGTCCTGTATTTGGGTCATAATAGTAGCCCAAACTGCTGCTGTAGTAGTACCTGGCCCATCAAATAAATTGTCGTTAGATCAAGCTTTTAACACAACATAATGTATTTCCTCTTGAACGGTTCATTCAAACAGACCAACTTGGGTGATCGTTTTCTATTTACATCAAAGTCATGAACAAGCTCCCATTGAACCCAAAAAGGATGTTAAAAAGACGATCACATGCTTAAAATTTCCTAACATGTTTATGGAAGGCTGATTACTAGTGCAGACAAATTATCATGTTTGGTCTCAGTGCACGAGAACTGATGATAAAATAATTAAGGTAACTGTAACAAAGGCCAGATCTGCTGAATCCTAATAAGGTTCATATGAACACTTCTTCCTTTCCTGTCATATAAAAGATGATTGCTTCGTTATCACTTGTTGAGTCATTTCCAAAAATTTAGAGGGAGGAAAACTTAAGAAGTGCCATACCCAGAAGACTCGTCATATGCATAATCGTTTTGCAATGTTCCACCTGAGAAAGCAAACGTAGAATGTCAAGCAAAAACTTATGCGTACAAAAAAGCAGTGATAAATGATTTCCATTTCAGATGACTATTTTAGAAACAATTTAAAAGAAGTTACCATCAGAATCACAATTTTGGGCATGTGATGATGTTTGGAAAGGGGCATTGTTTTCTTGAGCAGATGGTTCCGCAGTATCATCATCATCTGCAAATATATCATACTCATCTGCACCACTGCCAGAGACTTCCGTAGTAGTAGAGACATTTGGATCGGAAGCACCACTGGAAGTACTGGGGACTGTTGCCGAGACCAAACCAGTGTCCATGCCATCAGAGAACAGGTCTTTCTCCCCATTCAAATTAGAATTCCCCCCACCCGAATGAGACGATGTGCCATCTCCTCGTGCGAGGGCCAGCTTCTCATATCCTTCTGAAAGAGGGAGCAAGAGCATTGCAGAGAGAATGGGATGTGGAACGTAAGCCATGAAATGAACAAAACAATAGATAATTTGATATTACCTCCGATCCCTAATATGAGACCCATTTTATTAATTTGGAGAGATTAATGAAATTAATTAAGTTAGTTATTTGTAGCAAATAAATATTATTTTCCCTAAAATACCCTTTTTAATCATGTATGTTTGAATTAGCCATTGATAATAACTTAATATATGCAAATACTATAAGAATTACTTGAGGCAAAGTAGATAAATATTGAAGGCAAAGCGGATTGAGGTCTAATATTTAGGACCAAAATGAATGTCAAATTAGCTCTTATATTAAGGACTAAAGGTAATACAACAAAAACAAAATGAAGCCATTGTTGATATAACAATAACCTGCTTCACGCTGGAAAACCTCTTGCTTTTCATGATAGACATCTGCAGGGGAAAAAATAGTAACCAAAATTAAACATTGTGTACCGATATATGCCCCCTAAAGAAGCTGATGAGAAAATCTAATAAGCAATCTGGATAACATAAAGGATCTTAAACCAACAAATGAAAAACTGTTCTGGACATCTGAGGATATAAAAATGCCCAAAGCGAACTTAACTGTATTCACCATTCTCCATCAGTTTCATGGCATCTTCTGTCAGCTGGTCAAATAAAATCTTAGTCTGAGGTGACATTTTTGCCTTTCTGTCGTTATTACCTTTTAACCTTCGCAAAGCTTGTAAGACCTGTTAGAAGAAGAATAAGATAACCCGATGCAATAAATGACGCCAACAGACTACTTATCAGTGTGCGCACTACCTCTGAACTGCATTTCTACCCAAACACAATGGTCTAAAGTTATCAGAACTGAAGAGAACAAGGGCTGACAAACACTACACGAATGGTATCCCCAAGAATCTCCAGAATGTTGACCATAACTATTTTCCATTATACATTAATGCGTCAACAGGGAAAAGTTGTCAAACCAAAAAAGAAACACTCATGACTTATGTATGATTAAGTGCAGGGTGCAGGCTTACTGTTTCTCCTGGCTCAAGTGCATCTGCAATGCGCCTTTTTTTGACCGCAATATCCTTAGAGGAAAGGTCTTGGATCTCTTCTTCATCATTTGTCACCGTTGAGTTTAATGCAGAATATTTGGGATCAACTTCAACATTATCAAGCCATGCATCCTGAAATTATCCTCAGTAATCAAAATATAGTTACAAGTGCAGAAGTGCCAAAAGAAGAGGGGAAACCTCACCTTAATCTCATTATCTCTGACATATTCAACAAAATTTCCAGCTGCATCGAAGTAACCTTCTTCCCTCTCTTTACTTAGGTTGAAAGGTTCTATTTGAATCCCATCATCAACAAAATTTTCATTATCCTACCAAAATATATCAGTCATCATTGGCTATCCTTTCCATAACCTTGTAACAGATGTAACTGCTAACATTTACAATGAACATCAGTGTCAACCAAGGAAAGAATCATTCCACATTCAAAGATATAATAAAACGATATCTTTTGTGAGTCTTTGGGAGCTTATGTCACTAAAATCCAAGCATTCAAAATCCATCAAGAGAATAAATAATAAGTGTCCATCCAAGGGATTGCAAACAGTAAAAGAAATTGCAAGCCAAGTAGACTAAACATACTAGCTCGCCAAATAAAATAAATCATTAAAAATTCCATTAACCAACAACCACTTGATCAAGTTGTCAACACCTAAAGAAACGAAGGCACATCCATCATCCATGGGAACTTCAGAGTTCAGAGTTGCAAAAATCTTTCCCTTATATAGTCAGTTGGTGACTCATTCGCAGACACAAGATGTATATGATTGAAGTTTGAGGACCATGACAATACTTATTGCCAACTGGTGCTTTAAGCTTAAACGTCTAAAAGTTTGCTTTAAGCATCAACAGTTTAAAATCCAAACACTGAAAAACAAATATAGTCTATGCTTGCAGCATTAACTCCAAAGGCAGAACATGAAATTACAGGATCAAACAAAAAATGATAACATAGTTAACACTATCACCAGTCTAAATATAACAAGGTAAAGATAACATAGTTAACACTATCACCAGTCTAAATATAACAAGGTAAAGCAACAAACAGCTCAGGCATATTCTAGCGAATCAAGGCTTCAGTGCTATAATCAGATAAACATTTTCCCTGAAGATACTTAGAAAGGGAAACACTGATCAAACCCCTTCTTTTATCAGAAGGGTTATGTGAATATGTTAGTTAGAGCCAGTGTTTCGCTATATATGCAACCTCACCCGATGTCAGCGTACCAAGTGAAACATAGATATAAAGAAGAATACAACTCAGCCAAGGACCAACAAGAAAAGGTTGTGACCAATTCAAAGATTAATGAATTATTTGTTATGTTCATGTTTACTGAGAGAGAATTTGTCAATGCAGCCAGCCTAATTGAAATTGGCTGCCATCTATGAAGTCAAGTTGAAATAAAATCATCTATTGGCCCCCAAGAAAAAAGTTGTAACAAACCTCATATTTCACTTCAGCAGCCGAGATGTCACTTGCTATACCTCTACTGTCTTCACTAAAGAGTTCAGTAGTCATTTGACTCCTGCGTTTAGCCCGCTCTTTAGCTGCACGACGGGGATTCATCATGTCATCTGTGTCCTCCTCAACCGGTCCTATGTCCACCACTGCTTCATCCCCTGGTCTCACCTTCTTACCCTTCGGAAACCGAACCCTTTTTTGCCTGCATAACGAATGCAGAAAAGAATCTACGCAGTTTAGGTTAGATTAACATAAATTTTAATATAAGCATCATTAAATTTAGTTCCCCAGCTCATAACGAATTCTAGCACCCTTTTCATTAAAAAAGAAAACAAAAAGGCCCTGATGCCGAGACACAAAACTACTGAGGGTAGAGAAAAATTAGCACAGCTTCTGCAGCTAAATTTGGAAATGAACAACCGTATTTGAGATAAAAGAAAGCCCAATTCCACAACTTCCCGACCCAATGCGCACACACAAGAAGTTTGCATAAAAATCCGTACTAAGTACAAAGTTTCGGGTTTTTCACCCAAAGTCCACCTTTTGGCCAGTGAAGGCTCAAGGCAAAACCGCCACCTCGAACGCCCATAACCAGAAGAAGAAACATGTAGGATTTGTATGGAACAATTTCTAAGAACCTCAGGCAGAAAATTAATTCAAACCAGAAGCAATATTTTCCCAACAGGCATCAACTCGGGCATGAATAAGAGAGGTCAACAAGAAAGCAACAGAAAATTACGCAGGCGGCTTGTTAAGACCATCGTCTTCTTCCAAAAAGGGACGTTTATTGTTACTGCGCGATGATGATCCCTCCATTGATGCTGAATAAGCAATTAAGCTACTCCAACACTTTGAACTTCTTTGGAAAAGAGGCCGACACGCCCTGGCCGGATTTCTTCGTGCTAGCTCGAAACTACGCTCTTCATCCCATTTCTTCTTCTCCTCTCCTCGGAATTTTAAAATACTGATTTATGATTTTATTTGCACCGCCTCGATTTTATTATCAAGTTAACAAGGCATAATAATGATAGTACGAAGGGAAGATTAATCATTTAATTACTATAGCTTTAAATTTAATTATAACTCAGTCTTTACCTAAAACTCAATCCCTAAACCTATAATTTAGTCTTTTTTTGGCCATCATATAATATAGTCATTTAAAGCATTATTTTTCTAAATTTTAAAAATAATTTTGAGTCTAAATTTTAACTGAATGAAAATTATAAGAATTGACTTGTTAAATGTAAAGAATATTTTAAATGGTTATAAATTGTATACTTGAGTATGGATCAAGTTTGTTTCCAATTCTATTTAGGCTAACGTTATTTCCAATCCTTGACAGAGGACAATGGCCCAACAAAAATATGGCAAGGCTGGCCCATAATGATTTTTTAAATCGCCCCATAATTGATTCTAAGCCCAAAAGCTACAACAAGGAACAATTTTGGCCCACATTGATAAGGGAATGGCACTATCAAGATAATTTGTTTATGCTTTTTTATAATATACTACCTCTAATCCTAAATATAAGAATTAGTTGACTAATTTAAATAAATTAAAAAAAATTAAGTTATTTATTTGTAATAAATAGGAGTTATCTTTCCTAAAAAATCCTTACTAATCAAGTATATTAGCTAGAACTACTATCATTAAAAGGACTATTTTGAAAAATAAATGTATAAATATGAGAGACAAAGTGAATTTAAGTTTTATAATTAGAATCAAAATAAAATTCAAATGAAATCTTAGACCGGAGGTAATACATGATAGCTTTGAACTTTATTTGAAGTTAGAATTACATGGAAAAATTGCCATTGTAATAACTTCATTGAACTCTTGGCCCGTAGTAAAAATAAAAATAACTTACCTTTACTTTCCTACACTTGACAACAATGTAAGCATTTAGCCATTTATCCTACAATCTATGAAGTAGCGAAGATATTTTATAGAAAATCAAAAAGAACAAAAAAAAAAAATCCTTTTTTGATAAAAATGATGGCCCTGATGGATAATTCTAAGCATTTATATTTATATACTTCTCTTATCCTTAACATAAGACCCATTTAACTAATTTGATTAGATTAAGGAAGTTAGGTAAGTTAGTTAATTATAAAAAAAGTGACACATTTTTCCTAAAACACCATAATCATCTTTCTTAATATCCTCTCTCCCTCTTCTACTTGATTATAGTTGAGGGAGTATCTATAGGGATAATTTAGAGAAAATTAATAAATAAGAGAAACAGGTCTTATATTTAAGACCAAAACCAACATTGAATCCTATATTAAGGACCGGAAGAGTATAATATAACAATTATGATACGTTGCATTACCCACTAGTCAAGCAGTATATAATTTTTTTTTTAATACAGAGTATATAAATTTTTTTATTTAAGTGTATATAAAAGGCTTTAGTAATCAAACCTTAATTTTGGAAATAAAGGATTTTTGATCCCTTTAAGTAATTGGATAATTAAATAAATGCATTTAGAGAAGCTACATTGTTGCTTGAAGCAAAGGGGAAGTCTGGTAGCCAGTTAGTGATGACGGCTGCCTCTCACTCTCTAACCAAGGAAGAGAGATAACTACAGTATCTTTCAGAAGTGCATTTTTTTTTTTGTTAATTAATCCGTAAGTCCTTATAATTTCAACAAATTTTGAATCAGGTCCTTATAGTTTTTCTTCTTTTTATTAGGTCCTTATACTTTTACCTTTTTTTAATTAGGTCTTTGTATTTATTTATTTTTTAATTAAGTCCTTATAATTTCACTAAATTTTTAATCAGGTTCATATAGTTTTAATTTTTATTTATTAATTAAATATAAGCTTAATTAAATGGATTAATACTGAAATATAAAATATTAATAATTAAATTAAATTAATAATTATGTAATAAAAAAGTAATAGAATTAATTAATTCAGGAAATTTTTTTAGAACAATTAATCTTTTTGCTGAAAAAATTAAAATCATTATAATAATTCAATATCTTTAGAATATTATTGTTTATAAACTAATATTAAATAATACATACTACTTTATGTTTATATAATAGTACTATTAGAATTTATAAAATAAAGAATAAAAAATTCAGGGATTTACTTAAAAATAAAGTGAAGTTATAAGGACTTGATAAAAAGAAAAATAAATACAAGGACCTAATTAAAAATAGGTGAAAGTATAAGGACCTGATACAAAGAAAAAAAAACTATAAGGACCTGATTCAAAATTAGTTGAAACTATAAGGAGCTGTAGATTAATTATCCCTTCTTTTTTTAAATCAGAGCTTTTTTTTAAACCTTACCAATTACAAAAGTATTAACCAATTATTTGATACATATAGTAATATGTATAACAGAAATACAAAAATATGGATAGGAACTTATATTTGTATTCTTGTTAAAATACATAATGTCATATAAAAAAAAAGAAAAAAAAAAGAAGATGAAAATTACTAAATGCCAAACAAAAAATGTCAACAAAAATTTGTTTTCATTTGCAAATTTAATATTATCAGCTCCAAATAAAGTGTTGTTACCAATCCTAATTTGAGATTTAGTAATTTCAAACTTCTTTTTTTATCATTTTTTTAATAAAAAAAATTATAATATGCATTATATTTTTCATTGTCTGTGTAATAGAAAATTCATATCTAGGATTCTTATGTATAGGTATGGAATTAAATTTCCTAAAATAATCTTGAATATTGCATCGCAGGAAGACCTCCTGACATCTAGAGCTATTTTAGTAATTGTGATTTAAATGGAAATAGTTTACACTCAGCTCATCGTCTACAAATGTAGGTTCCAAACTTCCAATTTCCTGAAATCATCTAAAGTCTTGCTTGGCGGGCATCACTTTTCCAAGATAAGTAAAATTCTGAAATCATTCAAAGTCTTGTTAGGTACCAGTTGACTAGATAGTAGCATCTCTTTCAAGTCTATTATCCTTCAGTTATTTTTAATCAAGCATACATGGGCTTGAATTATCGTTCACTGAGGGTAATGATCATTATTTAGGAAAACATCATGTACCATATTGGGTAATGATCTTTATATACGCATATGATACAATTTACATGGTAAGGAAAAAATGATCTATAGACCAAATCCTGAAATAAGAAGAAAATTACACAGAACCAGAACATGATTCTTTTCCCCCAAGTGTTTGAATAATGGCTTCCAGGAGTTTGATGTCCTTATCACGCTTCGATATTTCTTCTTGCTTTGCACGCAGCTCTTCCATGTGCAGCTCAAACACCTCTGCAATTGAACTCAAAAAATATTAGCTTCTCGCTCATGTCTCAGCCACAACTGTTTCAGATTTCTGCTGCGACAGGAAAACAATTCAACCATAACTGGATCACCCAATTCTCCCCATCCCACATTGGACTTGTTGAAACTGATAGCCATGGAAATTTTAAGATATGACTCGAAGCAGGAAGTTCAGAAATAGCTCAGGTTTGAAAGCTTGCTCAAAAGAGGAACAGGCATATTCCTGCAACTCGAATATGAAGTTGACATGCTCGAATGAAGTTGGTTTATACTTTATCTGTCTGGGGAATTGGTTATCAAGAACTAGGAGGGAAAATGCTAATGCCCAATTAATTGGTTTGATGAAGAAATCAGTTGGAAGAGATGCCCCCTAATTGGCCCAACAATGCTCAAATCTGATCTGGGAGTATAAATATCAAATCATTGTATCCAAAGGAAAAAACTAGGACGGGAAATGCCAAGGCACAATGAATTGGTTTGGTCAAATTTAATCCAGGAGTATCGAACATCAAATAATTATATCCGAAGGAAAAAAGCGAATAGATCTGATGATAAACTTGAATATTCAAATATGATAAGTTAGTTTTGGGGCTCATTGCTAAATCTGCGTAAACGATACCCTATCGGATAAATGACATAATGCAGCGACCTCAAAGTATGGAGATATTAGAAATATAGGACAAACCCTAGTACGGAGATAGTACACAATGCTGAGTTCTCCAGTTATGGTGGAGAACATACAACTAGCAAAATACATGGATAAAAAAAGGTTCCAATTTCTTCCTTGAAAAATGTTCAAATCAATCCGAATCGTCACTGCACTGCCACCGAATTTCAAATAAAAACAATCAAAACTAGGTGGCAAGTTCTCCCCCCCCCCCCCCCAAAAAAAAAACAAGTTCAAGAGAAGCACAACACAAGAGCAAATAACACTTTGCAATGTAACATTTGTATCATCAACAATTTCAATTGTAGCCAATGTACACTAGAAATGGTTTATTTCTCTAGTACTGATAATCATTTTTATAGCTGCAGCTCTCCATGGGACTATCATGAGATGAAATTCTTAGAACCTAGGCCAAATGCCAATGCCAAAGCCAACCATTAAAAGAAAATTCCATTCTATACGTACTTAACGTCAGGTCATCTATGAATCCAAAGAGGGGAAAACAACTACTCTCCCAATATCTCCAAGATCCATGCTTGATGAACAAACCAAACAAATTAGCCAACTGTGCATTTTCACTCAATCTGAGCATAAAACAATTTAGATTCAAATGTGGTCTAACTTTGTCCTTCTAAGATTCGAGCTGAATATAAAAATTAACATGAAGAGTAAGCTTCAAACCAAACTTCCCCCATACCAACAACATTCATAGCATTTACATAAAGCAAAAATAAGTAGTTCAACAAAGTTTACAATAAAATTGTCCACACAGTAATTTCTTGAATATCAATTTCAGCATTATAATTAAGCACGAAAGGGCTCCTGTATAATGCTTATTGACGGGGAAAGGCAAAAGGTATAGTTAAAGTAAGAGTCACTCAATTCCTCTATATTTTCAAAGAATTACTAATATCCTAACCAAAAGCAATCACTTTCGAAATTATTAATGGGGGAAATGGTAGGTTTGAATTCAACATACTTGTCGTGTTCTCAAGCTCTTTTGTAATCTCTTGTGCACGTAATTCAGCTGCTTTCTGTGCTGCTTCAGCCTGGCGCTTTTCAGAACGAGCATGAGCAGCAGCAGTGATGGCAGCATCAAGTTCTCTCTCCAATGTTTCCACTCTTTGCTGAAGAACCTAGCGACGATTTACACTGAATTATGTGAGGGTAGGGAAGGGAAGGCTTCCTATTCTACAGCAATAGATCAATCACTGATTTCACACAGCAGAATATCAGGAAAATACAGTGCTGATTGCACATGCGCAGGTAACTACCAAGAACAGACTGAATCAAAGCACCTTATGTCAATAAAATTTGGGATAGCAAAATCTAACAATTTGAAACCAATCATTGTTATAAAACCAATCACTGATCCCAGAAGGAGATGTGCCATTTTAATCTCTTCTAGCATACTGACCTTCATTAAAAGTGAGGCCAGGGCAATGCCATGGTTTACGAGCATATTTAATAACTAACACAACCACCGATGGCCTAAGGGTAGCATAGGCGTTCAAGGTAGAGTGGTGGGCGGGTAGTGACTAGTAACCAAAATTCAGACACTCCGCATGAAAGCAAAACAATAAACTCACACAAAACGCTTAGCATGTGTGGGACTGAAGCTCCTATTTAACAAGCACAAGCAAAAAAGGAAACACACATTAAGATTGCCAAATTTTTCATAGAGCGATGAACAGGTAGAAGAGAAAAGAAAGCATAATTGAATCCACACTGAATTATAGACAAAAGAGGAAGTAAAATTTGAAAGACGCTGCCCAATATATGCAACATATCTTTCTTAATCCGTACAGCAAAGTCAATAGCGGACTTCAAACAATGATTAAACTAGTTAGGATCATCATAAACCATTAAGAAGCTAAGTTTGAAATATGCTCGACCCACTATACCCAGCAGATCCTCCTCAATCGAAGCAATACGAGCAACAGTTGCTATCAGATTGAGAAAGCAAAACCTTAATGGTCCGGGATTGTTCAGCGGTAAGAGAGGCTCTGGTAAAAGTGTCTTCGTCAACAAAGACGGCTTTCTTGAGGAGAAGCTTTTGGAGTGAATCCAAATTGGAAGACATCTCCGTCAGATTTGTGATCGCTCCGCTCCACCTCTCGCTTCCCTTCCCTTTCTCATCCATTTTTCTACTCTACCCACCGCACTGAATGCCAGTGGACACTAGCCCTCGAAGCTTGATCCCCGCCCCGATCAACAAAGGATGATAGGGAAAGACGGAAACTTGATTACCATTATCACACGGGCTTTCTTTTGCTTCCATGTTTAAGATCGCGTTGATTATGATTAATCGCCGGACTTTAGTTTTAAATTTTGAGGGAAAAAATATTAGTTATTTATAATAAATATGTGTAATTTTTTTTAAATATATTACTTCCTGTGTTTAATATAAGACATTGTTTGAATTTTATTTTAATTCTCAATATAAGATCCTGATTCAATTTGTCTCTCATATTTATTTACTCCCTCCGTTCCTTATTATAAGAGACATTTGATGCTTATAGTATGTTTCTAAATATAAGAGATACTTAAAAGTTGTCTCTACTTTTTTGTGTTGATTTCCTATTTTACCCATATTTATTGTCTCCAACTCACACTCTCTCTCCTTTCCACTTCTCTTTCTTTTAAGAATTTACTATTATTCTCTCTCATGCTCTCTCTCCTTATTAATGAGGGCATTTTTGGAAAAAAAATTATACTTTTTACACATTAATTGTTCTTAACTAATTTTAACTGTTTTTTTTATCAACGTAATTCGGTTATTCGTCTCTTATAATAAGAAACGGAGAGAGTATTTTTTAAGATAATCTTTCTAATAATAATAGTCCTAACTAATAAATTTGATTAGTAATGATATTTTAGAAAAAACAATATCTATTTATTACAAATAATTAACTTAATTTATTTTTAAATCAATTTAAATTAGTCAACTAACTATTATATTTAGTACAGGAGGTAATACCATCTCAAGTCTTTAATAGTTAGGCTTTTAAATTTATAATTTATTTTTTTGAGGTATCCTTATTCATTATACATATCAAGTCGTTTTCATCCAAGAATAATTATTGAAACTTAAAATAATATTTTGGAAAAATCAAATCATGTTTTTTAAAATAACTAGTTTTCTTAATTTATCTAAATATGGTAATATTTTATTTGGTCCTTAAATAGAAACAAAAGTAATTTCTTAGCATAAAGATCTGGATAATATTTATAATATAACGTGTTGATTGGTATAAAAATAACTTTTATCAACTGTATCCGCAATTGAATCAACTACAAATGACTAAATTTTACTGCCAATTCAAATCTTGTAAATAAAAAAAATATATTAAAAAATAAGTCTACTTAGATCAACAGATTTAAATTCTAAAGAGAGAATTATAATGAGGTGTCAATAAATAATTATAAAATAAGTCTAAAAAATTGTCATTTTCTATTTGTAATTTTGGTTGTTATTAAGTCTTTTTTGTAATTATTTTTTTTAAATCTTATTAAAATCCTCTCAATTTAAATCCAAATTAATATTTTAAAAAGGAAAAGGCAGTCCCATAACTCCGACCTCCATATGATTAGGTGTTGGAGTTTGGTGTGTCCGTACATGGGAGGGAGGGAGCATCATAAATTGGTGCTGTGCGTGTCTATAACTGAGCGGATACTTTTGTCTGACAGTTCTTGATCCGCTTCCAAGCATTAGCGGCGGCATGATTACAAGGTGCTCATTATTAATGTGGTTTTTTTTTTTTTTTGACCTTATACTAATCTGGTTCCTTGAATTCTTGCTTTTCCGGCAAACTCAACCGAGTTTTTTTTAAAGACTTATTTACATCTGATTATTTTAAGTGTTTATAAATATTTTTATGTAAGAAATAATAGGCATTTTTATGTAAATCAAGATATTTCTTTATTCACGATTTAAAAATTACTTATAAATTATTCACAACAAGCTTAGCTTAAAAAAAGGGATATTCCCAACAAGTCCTAATGTTAACTAGCAAATTATTTTGGTGGCAACCCTATCCATCACGTATGGATAAAACTCTAGGTTTGAAACTAGTATTGATATATTTGTATGCCTATATGTTAATTGTTTATTTAAAGTAAAAAGTGTTTGGCACTCTTTAAAAAAATTACTTTTACACTTTATTATAAGGGTGTGTTTGGATGAAACCAAACCGTGGTTTGAAAAAGTGATTCTGAAAAAAATAGATTTTATGAAAAAATGATTTTGAGAAGTGAGAGTATTTGGATAGTTGTTATCAGAAGCACTTTTTATATATACAAATTACTAAAAAAACGACAAAAGTTAATATGATAATTACAGAAAAAAATAGATTTTATGATATATTTTAATTTGAAGGAATAAAATTGTTAATAATATATTTTTTATTAACATAATTAATAATACATAAGATAATATAATTAATAAATAATTAATATGTATATATATTTATAAAATATAAGATTAAATATGTTTATAAAAAAAATAACAAGATACATATCCTATAAGCTCTCACACTCTTCTTTTTTTCTCCAAAAGCAAAAAAAAATTTCTTTTTCCAAAACCATGATTTATGCAAATAGGGTGGGTGTTTGGATGACTTATCACCCAAACCATGGTTTGGGTCCCAAACCATGGTTTGGGGTGTCACCCAAACGGTGCCTAAGACATGTTTCTAACATCTTTGTATAACACCAATTACTTAAAAATAAAATCAACCACAGAACATCCTAATTAAATAGGAGAGAATTATAATTAAGTCTCAAGTAAAAAATATAATTATTAGAAAGTCCTAGTGACAATATAGCAACATGCAATGAAAAGTTTTAAAATAATAAATAACAATTATTTATTTATTATTGTGATTTTTTAGTAATTATATTTTTTACTTGAAATCTGATTGCGAATTCTCCCATTAACCAACGACAAATTTCTAGCAATTTTTTTTTGTCACGATTTTAGCTGCTTCTTCCCTCTTTATATTCTATATGGACATTATTACGAATGTTTATTAATAATTATGTACATATCAAAAACTTTAGTTAAAATGATTAATATTTGTAAAATTTGGAATTCTTTTTGTTGAAATTATTAATCACGGAAAACTGTCTCGTTAGTTAAAAAGATCACTTAATTAGTTAAAAAATATTCAAATATAAGACTCTTTTTCAAAAGGTTTAGAATGAAAAAAAAATTAGGAAAAATCTCAAAAAAGTGACTGTTGAATTTTAAAATGACAAATCAGTATTGGTTACTACATTTATAAAGAAAATGACTACACTTACAAAGCAAATAACAACATATTTTTGTAGTAATTCCTGATTTGTCATTTTAAAATTCAACAGTCACTTTTTTAATGATTTTCTCAAAAAATTAAGAGGGAATCTTTGAATATGGGGGTAATAAATTCTCCCTCGTGGTGAGTTGTAACAGCCACTTGTGCCACTTTTAAGTCGTTTGCCACGTGATCCTCTTTTTAATTGTGCAAAACTTTTTTTTTGCCAATAAAATTGTGTAAATCAATGTGGATTAGACAAATCTAGAAAATGTGAGGAAAAAGAAAAGAAAAGGCTTGCTGGCTCTGCCTTAATAAATGCTTTGGAAAAAAATAAGTTGGGCTTCGTCCAGCCTTTAAACCCTAATTTTGTTTTTATTTTAATTGATTTTTAAAAAAAAATTTATTCTCACTACCCAATCCTAATTTATTATTTACGCAAGTTTTAATCTCAACAACACATATCCTCCTCTTCTTAAGTTCAAACAACTTTACTTGAATCCATCCACCTTTTGTTTGATTTCTTTCTTGGAACAGTTGATTCTTCTTTTAAAGAAAAACTATATGAGAGGTACATATACTTTTTTCAATTTTTAATTTGATATCTATGTATTTTTTTTCTTAATTAAATCATTTAATTTTACTTTTTTAGCAGCATTAGCTTTTAGTACAGCTTTGTTCTATTAATATTTTTAATCTCTGTGCAAGGGTTAACAATGTTAAATTTAAAAGAGCAAAATTAAAAATTTAATTAAAAAAAACACATAGATATCAAATTAAAGAATAAAAAAAAAAGTATAAGACTATAAGTATCTTGATGTCTCAGGGATGAAATTCACTTAGACTAAAATACTCTCATCTATGTCATAATTGAAAATTTTTAACACTAATTTTACCGAATAAAATGAACTATTTTCTTATTAATGTCCACAAAATAACATTTAAAAAATGGATTAGTGGGTCATGTGGCCTTACCCATAAGCAGCTCGCAGGGTCATTATTTTAAAACTTGTAAAATATAGTGGCCTACATATCCACTCCAAAGTACTTAATATTGAAACTGTCCAGCCAAAATATTAATGTACTATTTGAAATTAGTTGAGGTGGTAAAACAAGATGGAGTATGAATAGGGGTTACAATTTAGAATTTCCTAGTATAACAAAAAAAAAATAGTTTATCTAAAGTTATAATTTTTTTTTTGGAAAAAACTCAACATAGAATATAGTTTTGATGAATTAGAATATTTGACCTTGCAATAAATGTTAATAATTTTGGAAGTAAATTCAGATTGTGATATAGTATCAAACAACAATTAGATTAGATTTTTTTTTTTTCAATATAAAGTATCTAATATTTTATTATGTAGTCAATTAGATGCATACATCCCGTATCCTATAAGATTTCTTAGTATTTCAATATATATATACTTCAAATAACTAAATTTTAAAATAATATAATCATAACGAAAAAATCCAAACAGAATATGTAAATCTAAACTATATCTTCAATTTATTAGTGAATTCTCATATACCCAACCGCCAAAGGATAAGGTTACATGCACCAATAAACATTAAAAGAATAATACAAGTTCCTGGTCAGAAAAGAATAAAACAAGTTCATTATAGTTTTATACTTCATAAGTTATTTTACATTCCCAAATAGTGGCATAATAATCCACTCCAAAATACTTGCCACTTTTCCTAACATGTTTAGATAGAAACGAATTATGGTTTCAGAAGTAATTTCACGACTCACAAAGTAAATATGTGAGAGAATCTGTCTTAATTTATAGAAAAATGCTTTTAAAAAGCACTTATGGGCTCATCTAAACACCTCCTAAAACTAGTTTAAGGGAATAAAATAAATAAAAAGATATGAATATCTCTCTCTCTTTATTTGGTTTCAACCAGGAAGTACCAGATTCGATCATGTGACTTGATGGGAGACACAATATTGCTCCACCATCTAGCCAAAAGTTCGATGGGCAAATGAGTATCTCACTTACAACAACTTGATATAAGTATTAGAATATACTCATCCGGTGCTAAATATAATATCTATTTTATAATGTAAATTACGTTACAAAATGAATTTTATATTTAGGATGGGAGAGAGTATTAGGATAAAACATTAGGGCAGCAAGCCTTAGACACTCTTGTTCAGCTTTTATAAGGGTGTTTGAGTAAAACCTAAATTATGATTTTAAAAATAATTTTACGATTTAAAAAGTGAATATATAATAGAAATTATTTCAATTTGTATAAAATTACTTTTGAAAAGTGCCACCCATTATATCTACACACATATATGTATTGAGCTAAACCCCTTATATCTATATCAAAGGTATTAATGAAACCTCTAGAAGCCCATTATACCCTCCCGAACTTAATAGAAAGACACAACTCTTATCGTAGCCTCAATTATTACAATTACTTTAACTAATAATCATTGATTAGCTGTGAGATAAATACAAAGGTAATGATCCATTAGGAAGACATGAACAAGTAGAACATTTTTTGAAAAATCCTTGCAGTGAAACGTTGCATGATGAAAGATTCAGATTGATAAAAGAAGTTTATGACATGTCATATCTTTTATTCTACCGTGAGGGATTTTCTTTCAATGGCATGATAATTTTCTTATATAAATTTCTATGACTTTTTCTGAAAGATATGAAATTATGCTTAATTAATTACTAGTATAATTTTTTTTTTTTTATGTAATAAGGAGAGTGCTTCATCTTTCTTAAGATATGGAAAGGTAGAGAGTAGAGGCTCTTTCCAAATAAGATTACTTTTGGTGAATATAGAGTAATTAATTTAGTATTTTTCTTATTTTCATTTGACAAAAATGATTAAATTAGATGAACATCTGGCTTGAAGATTCTAAAAATATCAGTATAACAGAAAAATCCCTCCAATATAATATTTTAAGAAAAATTAATTTTATGGCGGTTGTATGGTTACACGCGCCATATGGGATCCAAACTCCACAACAAAGTAGTTGATTGTCCCATGGGTCCCATAACAAGGTCGAGCGTGTATAGCACGCATGATCAAGAGTTTCACGTTTAACCCTGTAATTTATATTTTATATTATATATTAATAAAAATAATCCTCAAACAAAGATGAAGAAAAGGTAAAAGCTTTAATTTAGTGGGGAAGACACAGTACTGTGTTTGTTTTCTCGTTTCGCTCTGCGTGTTCACACATAAAAGAATTTATTATATATATATGTATGTATATATTGCGACCACCCTGGGTGTGGCTTCTTCTTCAGCTTTAATGGCGTGAGAGAGTAGGCGAGGAGTACAGCTACGGTGTCTAGTAACCGTATGTGAACCTTCAATCTTTGCATGCCTTACCAACCCCTCAGAAATGAAACCCAAAAATCCAAATGAAATGATTTTTTCTTTTGAAATGGGAATGTAATTGATAATTTCCATCGCAATTGTCACTTTCGTTCAACTTCTGAACCTGATTAAAAATGTTGATGTATCGTGAGGGTGTGTTGTTGTTAGTCTGTGCAAATCGACGTCTGAATGGGTTTTCTGATTTTGTGATTGCTTTGGGGTGAGATTTTTCTGCTTTCTTCCTCCGTTATTTTTTTAAACATTTTTTCGGTTAGTATCTCGTCTGGTTATTGGTGTTCGCAAGAGTTGAGATGGTGAGGAAGACCAGAGATATCCTGAAAGACGATCAGGAGCTTGAAATGTTGCTGGAAGAGATCCAGCATCGACATGGGTATGGTGGTAGTAATGATCACGCGGTTTTTGAAAGCCAGGGCATTCGTGGAGTTTTTTATGTGGATGATGATGACCCTTCCTCGCAGATTAAATATCCTCGTGTCTCTTCACCAACAAGCGGGTTCTCTCTGCGATCAGAAGGTTCTTCCTCGAGCTTATTCTCCAGTGTGCATCGTCTATCTGATAATGGATCACCAACTCCACCTCCTTTGGATGAGCTTAAATCCAGTATGCTTTATGGAGTTTCAAACTACCCGAACAGCTTCTGCTTGGGTTCGACAGTATCTGATTCCCCTTCGGCGAAAAAGGCCAGTGAGACTGATGAACTATACCTATGTGCAAAATTGACTAAAATGGGCCTTACCAATCAATATGGAAATTCTTGTAATTTGAAAGATGCATCAATAGGCAAGAGCGGTCTTCCATTCCGTGATAATGCTACTCTGGGTGGAAATAATCCCATCAATGCTTATAAACATGGAGATTACGACAGTTTCAAGAGAGAATTTCCTGACCCAATGGGAGTTCAACCCCCTTTTCCTCTTAGTATTCCGACTTTTGATGCTGAAAGAAATCCAGTGTTCACAGGATTACCTCGGGATTATCAAATGGGTAATTCATTTGGATCACAACCCTGTTCCAGACGACCTGGTACGATCCATTCTCAATTTAATGGCTTCAGTGGTTCAGGGTACTCTCCTTGGCAAGGACAGCTGATAAATAGCTATCATTATGGAGGAAATTTGGGGATAGATCGTACTTCTTCTTTGGGTGGACATGCATTGCCTGATTCTTTACTTTATGCGCATCAAAGTGGAATGAATTTGATGGATGACAGGGGAATTTCAACGTTGCCTGATTCTTCCCTTTGTACCAATTTAAGGCCTCATTTGAGTGCTCAAAATTTACTGCAGTGCAATCTTCCTATGTCTAATGCAAGAGCTGTGCCACCTGCAAACGTTAAAATCCCACAAGGTGGTCTAGATGCCATTACTAGTGAGGGAAGCTTCATCATACAAGGTGAAGGTTTGAATTATTTCCCTGTCAGAGGTTCTGATCGTTGGAGGAATAAGTGTAAGGGTGCTGGGCACGAAACTAGCTTTGCTAAGCATCTACAAAGGTCAGAGCTAGACGACCAGAACCAGATGTTAGGATCTTATAAAAGTCCTAGTGTTAGGAGTGGATGCTCTTTCCCTTCAGTACCCGAGTATAATTCCCTGGCAGAAGCTCAAGGATATATATATTTATTAGCCAAAGATCAGCATGGCTGTAGATTTCTGCAAAGGGTGTTTGATGAGGGTACACCACGAGATGTTCAAGTAATATTTTCCGAGATCATTGAACATGTAGTGGAACTCATGATGAATCCTTTTGGAAATTACCTCATGCAGAAGTTGTTCGATGTGTGTGATGAAGAACAGAGGATGCAGATCCTACTCATGATTACTAAAGAGCCAGGGCAGCTTGTCAGAATCTCTTTGAACACTCATGGGTATGGTGATGTAACTTATGCAAATTTTACAATATGATATCGATTTTTCTAATGTTGGTTTTGACATCACTTTTTCTTTTTGTCAGTACTCGTGTGATACAGAAGCTCATTGAAACTCTTAAGACTAGGCAACAAATTTCGCTAGCTATATCAGTCCTTGAGCCAGGATTCTTGTCTCTCATCAAAGATCTAAATGGAAATCATGTGATCCAGCGTTGTTTGCAGTGCTTAAGCAATGAAGATAACAAGGTATGACTTCTATCTTCTCCAAGTAACTAGTTTATATATTGGATGACAATTTTTAATAGGTCGTCATTAATAGAAAGACAAGCTTATTCTTTTACAAAGGATACATTACAGGAGAGCATTACAGTGGTGTTTGTTCTTTACTTCCGTTTGGCAGTTGGATATTGTAACCCCGCTCAATGATTTAAGCATTTTTCTATTTCTACCTGATTATGTAATAATTCTCTTGTTTCTGTAATGTTTATCTAATGAAAAGTGACAGTTCCTGTTCTGCTGCATTTCGCCAGAATAAGATACAGGCAAACTGTAGTGCCAGGTTCAACCACCCAGCTGACATTTGTTAATGTATTGGCGAATATCACGTCATTATGTCTAAGCCTTGAGAACAATTTATTTCTAGACACAGTTCATGATCACCTTTACCAATACCTATTTCATTGACTTATGTTTATCACAATAATTATATCATTTTCATTTCCGCATTGTTTCATGGCATTATCAGATTTATCTGTTTGCATTTTATCCTTTCAGTTGGGTTTGGGTGTTGGCTCTTGCTTTTCACTGTTAATGTTCTTCACAGCATATTCTTCCTCCTCATGGTGGAAATTTAGATGTTGAAACACCATAAAGATGCTTCAAAGTTATGAAACTTCCTGATTATGTATTTATGTCAACACTAATTTTAATAAAAGGATGCAATATGTTATGGCTCTGGTTCTTCTGATCTTTGCCATGATAATATTGATGGTGCTTGAACGTATGTCATACTATTTTGTTTTATTATGACATGACATGGGATGCTTCCACATTTGTATATTGTTTCTTGCCTCTTGCAAGGCTTTCAATATTTGATCTCCCAACATCTGTTGTACAGTTTCTTTGGATACTTTTGGCCATTCTCCAGCAGCTGATTAGCCATTCTTTGCCATGGAGTTTGTCAATAATATTCATTGCCATGAATGAAGATATTAACTTCTGTTATGAGCCGACTCCCCTTTCTATACGCCAGAATGCATGCGAAATGTCAAGTTAAAAAAAAAAAAAAAAAGGCCATAGTAATTAGCTGTGGTCAAATGAATTTATGAGGATTAATAAAGATGTCAGTCACTTTCTCTGGCTTCGTACTAGAAGTCATGATACAAAATGTTTTATAAGAATGTGACATGTAGGGAATCAACTCCTGAATATATATGACATGTGGAGAATCAACTCCTGAATATACTTATGGGTTTATAAAACTCAAACTGTGAGAGGCTTCAAAGTTAAAAGAAATGATTTGTGATTGGTTGATGATCTCTTGGGTAAAAGGCATTCTCAAAGTAGTTAAAGTGGCATCTATGTTGATACTGGTTGCCTAGTCTTAATGCCAGCTATATGCTGCAGAGAAATATTTACATTAACAAATACACAGAGCTTTCTCAATGTGGGAAATATCGTTGCAAAGTTTCCTGTTGTGCGCTTAATGATATAAATATCTTTTATTCTTTTAGCTCAATTGATATGCTATATTCATGCTTATTGATTTAGGCAGGCCCGCTAACTTCTTGTGGTTTCTCTTGTTACTTGCTTGGAGCAGTTTATATTTGTTGCTGCTGCGAAATACTGTGTTGAAATTGCAACTCATCAGCATGGATGTTGTGTTCTACAAAGATGCATTAGTCATTCCAGGGGCAAGCATCGCGAACAACTGGTTGCTGAAATATCTGCTAATGCTCTTCTTCTAGCTCAAGATCAATATGGGTAATCATTAGAAACACACTACTTTGTCTATGTTTTCCCAAATCCTTATGTGGACATACAAACCATTTTTATTTCCTGAACGGATAATTCCTTTTCAGATTGGAAAGCCTGTTTTCTGTTTGCTCTACGAAGTAACTTCGACTATATTAGAAGGTTTTCTTGTACAGGATTGTGAAACTTAGCTGCTAATAGATACATGTGATAGAAATGTGGGCAAATAATTTTTAAAGGAAATGTTTCATTTTGAGCACTAGATCTGGATCTACTGCATTTGATCATGCATCATTCCTTATGCTAGGAGAAAATTTACGTACTTGATTTTCAAATTGAAATCCATTCACAATGCACTATTTCCGCATGATTTAATTGTTGCATTTCAAAATTTTATGCTTTGAGTCCTGAGAGATGTAGGATAGATCATCCCTTTTGGTTTTTCCACCCATTCACCTGTTGGTTGGTTTTTCTGCCCCCATGCAGAAATTATGTTGTTCAATATATCTTGGAGTTGAGGATCCCATCTGCCACTGCAAGTATAGTTTCACAATTCGAAGGTAACTATGTTCACCTGTCAACACAGAAGTTCAGTAGCCATGTGGTTGAAAAATGCCTCGCTGTATTCAATGATGAGCATCGTGCACGAACCATCCATGAGCTGCTCTCAACTCCTCACTTTGAGCAGTTGCTTCAAGATCCTCATGCGAATTATGTTATTCAATCAGCTCTTCGCCATTCTGAGGTTTGTAACACATATACTTGATATGCTTTCTCACCTGCCTTGCCTCCCCCCCCCCCCCCCAAAAAAAAGAAAATATGTATGATTGAGCACTTGTTGCAAAGGCTTTATCAGCAAGTGATTCAACAAACCCATCAATTGATCAGTTGAAAATGATGGCATACCATATCTCAGTTGAATATTTCTTAAAAGTGTATATATGGATTGTGGGGTTACTTCTTTTCCTTTTCTCATGCTTTCCTTTTCCTTCTAAACCAGGGCTTTGTGCATAACGTACTGGTCGATGCAATTGAGTCACACAAAGCAATTTCGCGAAACAGCCCATATTCAAAGAAGATTTTCTCACAGAAGCTTCTGAAGAAATGATGTATATTGTCACCACCCGTGAGAAGTTTTGTTGTTGTTCTAACATTACTCCAATTCTATGCATTGCATGGTTATTTAACTGTAAGTTGGGATATTGATAACCATTCAAGCTGTTAGTCTTCTTCCAGAAGTGTTTATGCATTTTGCTCAGGTAGTTTAGGTAAAAGGAAGGGGTGGGGGAAGGGGGGGGGGAATAAGGCAATTGTGCCTTCTAATCTTCTTGAATTTTGCCTGTATTATCTATCTGTATCTCCAACTCTTTGGAAATTATCCTGTTAATTATGATCTTTGTTTCTGTATGAAGCTGTGTACGGACATGGTGTGTATATGATATTGTTAGGATAAAATCCTCCTCTATTTAGTGTTTGATGTCTCCTTTATTTACCCATTTCTTCTGAATTATAGAGCCAAAATTTTCAAAACAAACTGAGTTGTTTGAAAAATAAAAAGGAGCAGTTTATGTAACTCCCACAAAATCTAGGAATAAGTTGTATAATCTAAAACAAAAGGTAATGTCATGTAATTTTGACAAAATTCAAGAAAATTTTATGTAATTTATCTTTTTTTGGGCAGATTTGTGTATAGTTTACAAGTAGGGTATAGTAAGTATAATTTTAGCAAATTTAACGAACTGCCTATGAAATTTCTTTTCTTTCTCCTGATGTGTAATTTATGCTATATATTTTAAAATAAAACTAATTATTGATTTATAAAAAAGGGGGAAATGACATGTACTCTCAGAAAATTTAATTTTATTCAATGAAGAGCTAATGCATACGAGCTAGATAATTTAACTCAAGTTATGTTAATATATTAATTTCAATTCAATAGGAAAGGTTGGCCCATAAGGAAACAAAAGGGTATAAGAAAACAACTTGCTTTAATTATTTTTTATTTGGTGATAACAACTTGCTTTAATTATGGTAAAAGGGAATAATAACAAATTTATTGGTCCAATTATAACTTAGTGGTACCTTAACGGTGGAGCCTGAAAGTGACCATTGGATGTTATTGTCAATTTTTGGAGGCCTATCACTAAAATCAGCGACCTAATGATGATTGCCTTTCTTCCAGAAGTGCTTCATCCAATTTAATCTCTAAAAGTGTTTTTAAGTCAACAAATAATTGGCCAACTCGGTTGCCTTAAATTTCCTGGTAGAAAAAAACTCAGTTGCCTTAAATCAAAAATTATTTTTGAATTTTAGTGGACAAAAGTGCACGTATAGTTCTTTATCTTTATATAAAGTTTTATTTGGGTCTCTTAATTTTATAAAATGTTTTTAATTTTATAATATTAATACTATTAGTTTCATTAACAAAAAATACTGATATTAAAATTTTAAATGTTAACAAAATATTCGTAAATACTGACATAGAGAGTTTTGTTTTTTAAAATAAAAAATGACTGGTATAAAAAAAATTTGAATGTTTTTTCTTTCCATCATAATTTGAGCTTTACGACATTAGGGTTATATTAAGATTAGATGATTGAAAAAATACCTTATAAAGCTAGGCAATTAAACTTTAATTTTATATAAAATTAAAGAATTGAAAATGTAATTGGAATCCGAAGAAGAATAACTTTTCCAAGCATAATTTTTTTTGGCGGCATCTATGATGTTTGACTTCAAAATCCTAGGAAAGCAGTAAAAATTTAGCTATAAGTTAGATAACTAATTTGAGATATTAAGAAAATTAATTAAGTTAGTTATTTATTACACATATGTGTTGGTCTCGTTAAATCATTATTTTCAATCATGTACATCATATTATTAGAATTATTCATTAGTAAGAAATTCCTTAAAATTAATAGCGATATTTTAGGAACAAATTAAAGACAAAATAGATTGAGATATTATATTTAAAACTAAATCCAACCTTTAATTGGCTCCTATATTAATAATGAAGGGTAATATAATTTTTTTCACTCCATGTAACTATTGTTGCTTTCAGCAGTCCAAAGACAAAATGATATTAATAAGCAAAAAGTTTTACAAAGTCTACATAGATAGAGCTCCTGCTGATAAAGTGATCAAAATTAATGCAGATGGCTCTTTTTCTCTTCATAGAGATGCTGCTGGCACTGGAATTGTTTGCAGAGCTCCTACATGAAAAAAGTTAAACTTTAGAAAACAAGACCTGGAAATATCTATTGTTTGTGTAGATTTATTGGTAAGTAAGTTTTCCTTATGAATTTGAATATTATTTCAAATTTTTTATTGTTTTCTTGAATAATTAGAAATTCAGTTGTTCATATCTAATTTGGAATTTTTTCAAAAAATTTCAATCTTTTATAACTTTTTTTATAAGTTAACCTTTCGTAACTAATGTTTGTAATTAAACAAATAAAACAATTTGCTCAATTATTTATTTTCTTAACTCTCCATTTTTCCCATAAAAGAAAATGTTCCGAGAATCGGGTGCCGATGAGTGAAATAGATCAGTGCATCTGTGAATTATTATTGACGAATTTTGAGATTTTTGTCAACTAGTAATTCATTATTATATTTAATGCAAGTTTAAGCAGATTTTAAATATACTTTATTTAATTATTATATTTAATTATCCAGTATCTAGTATAGTTTTTTTTTATTTATAAAATTTAATTTACCTTGTCAAAAAAGTATTCATGTGTCTTTCACTCAACTCATAATAGTTGATCCTTCATTTGAAAATATGATTTTTTTTAATGTATTCTGAAAAACAGAAAATTTGTTCTGAAAAATAAAAAAATATAATATTTTTCGCTTGATTAATGATAATTGTGTTAATAAAAAAATAAAATGTTAATATTATTTTTAGTCCTTAAAATGTGACATCAGTTCTTAAAATTTGTAACAATAATTTTGAATTATGGATTAGTATGAGATTAAATTTTAAAGATTAAAAATAATACTAATCCTAAAATAAATCATTCTTTCACATTTCACGGGGTAGAAAGGAAAGATTCCGAGGGGCGGTGGGGCCGCCAAAGCAAAGACCCACTATCAATTGCGCTGATTTATATACGTAGTATTTATTTTTAGAACGCACCCCGCCGCTCACGTGGCTCGCACTTCCTAGTACGACCGCGTTCGCATTTGTTAACGAATAATATGTCGACACGTATACATGGGGAGAACGTGGACCAATGGTATTGGAGAAACTGATCGGATCTCAGCGCCCGCCTCTCGTCCACGAATTCTGATATCCGCCTCGTGGGTCTTAGACACGTGTCAGTCTCTGCGTGATACCTTCAAAGTTCAAAAAACAAGTAAATAAAAATATTACACAAAAAATAGAATAGAATAAAATAAAATAAAATAAGATAAAGAAAATTCTGAAGGCCTTTGTTCGATTCCAGAGGCAAGAAAGCTCTGGAAGCTCCTAGGAATCCTGTCGCGAGAGAGGTGAAAATAGCTGAAGCTACTCGCAGCTCACCTTTTGTGTTGAATTTCAGTTCTGTGTTCTGGTTTCCGAATTTCTGCTTTCTTTTCTCTTTTCTTTGAAAACTCTCATTTATCCCGCAAAATTTGTTCTTGAGGCAGTTGAATGCAAAGATTTTCCGTCTACTCGCAGATTTCTTGTTTTCTTGCATTTTTTTCAATTTTTGTTACATGTTTACGTGTTTTGGTTAATGAATTGAAGTTTAGAGAGTGAGAGATCTTCATTTGCGTTTCATGGCGTTCTAGTTGGATCAATTTGATTGTTCTTCATCGTCATTTCCTTTTCTTTTCCGCCTCTCTTTAACTTTTGTTATAGAATCATTACTGATAAACAGTTTCTTGATTCTACTTTTTACGTTCTACTGAAAGGAATGGTTTTTAGATTTACTCACCTGTGCTTAGTTGAGACCAGCTAGTTAGGGCTTAATGGATTAGTTACTGGGTGTTATTTCTGCTGCTCTTTGTTAGGGCTGGATGGATTAATGGCTCCATCTTTCGCTTTAACGTACCAATTCATATGTGCAGTTTATTTGGAAGAAAACTTTGTAAGGAAATGCTGAGAATGAACCTCCAATTGTAAATATTGAGACTTGGAATTCCTTGGCTGACGAACTTTTTGGATATTGATGATCTTTGCAATTTAGAGCAAGCTTTTGCGTTATACAAGTTTGAGTGTTTGATTCATTGGTCATTTGACTTTTATTGTTTATGTTCTTATTCTCCCATTTTTACAATTGAATGTGCCCGACAGTGTTGTAATTGCCTAAATGGTCCAGAAGATTTATCATTTCCAAGGGCAAAAAGAGTCTTGTTCCAGCCTCATGTTTAAAAAAAATTGAGTGCTTTGCTTTATATGATTTCCATCTTTCCTGATCAAGGGATGAAACTTAAGGTTTTTGTAGGAAGTTGATATGACCCAATTTTTTCATTTCCCTATCCAAGGCTGGGCTACAAATTTCTTAAGCTAGTGAGTTGGCCTGTCAAACTGATTTTTGCCTGATCTTTTGGGCTGGATTTGTTTAAATTGTTTTAGTTGATTCTTTAAAATTTGGACATCGGGTGTGTCTTATTATTGTTATATTATGTGATAGAGAAGCACCTTTATTGGCGAATATTCCAAAAGAAAACATGACATTAGACCAACTAGTTGCTTGTGTATTCAGTGGCGGATAGAGGATCTAGAAGGAATGTCCAACTTTTGCACATACGAGGTATTTACTATTGCAGTTCAATTTTAATTTCCAGCATTTAGTTGTAATAATAATATATTATCTAATCTACGTGGAAAGTATGTTTTTTCATTTGACTATTTCCATGTTCAAATTCCGTTTTCTCCCCAATACTATTTGGTGAATTACATTGTTTTTAAAACTAAACTGGGCATATGTGGTCAAGACACTTTCTTAGTGTTGTTACTATACTTATATTTGTAAATCGTAACATATTATTGTGTGGCTTAATGTCAAAATATTTTTGTTGTCTTGGAGACTTTTGGCCTCCCATTTTGGATATACTTCTTAGTCTTAAATTTTATATGTGCTTGCTTGTCTTGTTCATTTTATCGAAATAGCTTAAGGGCTTGTTTGGGACAGCATTCAAAAATACTTATAAGCACGTTTCACGTAAATTGAGACAAAACTTTTTTCACATATTTACCTCGTATTTCATAAATCATGATTGAAAAGCTACTTATAAGTTATTCCAAATAGGCCCTAAGTTTGGTCACAATGATAAGATGTAATTATTATTGAGTGATTTTCAAATTTTATGATATCTTCATGTATCTTTGTTAATATACTATCTAGTTATTCTTACATTTTATGATATCCATGTATCTCTATTTTTAAGAGATTCTTTCTTATCTACCACATCTGATTATTTTTAGAAGCTACTGAAAGAGTGAAGCTTCTAAAAATAATCAGAAATTCCCCCCCCCCCGGGTGGTTATCTTGATTAATTTTAAAAGTTTAAACAAACATTATAAAATTTCACAGAAGTGGCTTTTTCCCCCCAAAAAAAAAGTCATTTTTGCAAGAAACAAGCTTAAATAAACAAGCCTGAGGGGCATGAAGTGATTCGTTTTTCTTTTTTGCTTGGGTTTGTTCTCTCATGCCTTAGAAGCCTCAAGTCCTGGACCTTTTTTTTATATATTAAATATCATGTCAAATTTTCTATTTTGTGTGCTTGATTTCCCCAAAATACATTGGGCTACTTTGTCAAAATATATTTCATTTTTCATATTACTTTTAGATGTGAAACTTCTATTCTCTGTTTATGTTGTTTTAGTTCAAGAGTAAAAATGACTGCTGTGGATGAATCTAGAATTTTGCATTTGCAAAAGATTGGAAAGGGCTTTTTTTGTGTCTCATGTGAGACTTCTGGCGGAGACATGTTTGGTTGTAAACTATTACGGTTAATGCTTGTGTCAATGCAATAATGCTGAAAACTCGTAGACATTTGAGGTAATACTTTATGTGGATAATGGCTTTCAGTGCTGTTAAGGATGGAAGCAATTAATGGATTACGGTATTAGGTTAACCGGTGGAGTGACCTACTCTCCTTGCATGACCACAGAAATTTTAAGTAACATCTTCTTAGGTGTGTGGAATCATATGCATATAAGATACTCCCTCCAGTTCTTATTATAAGTTTCAAATAACTAATTGATAGGTAACAAACAATTAGTTAAAAACAGTAAAGGTCATATGCCTTTATAAATAAGAAAAAAGTATGAAAGAGAATGTGTGGGGACATGTGATAAGATAGAAATAATTAAGGGCAACATTGCAAAAAATGTATTAAATATTAAGACAATTGAAGCTCATAACAGGGACCATACCTCTTTCCAAATTTGAAGCTTGTAATAAGAACCGGAGGGAGTATTTTAATAGTATTTCTTAGAAATTTATTTCAAGATTAAGAGTTAGCATCAGCCTCACTGAGCTACTTAGTATACTTTGGTGTCCTTGATCCAATGCTTTAGTTGACACATCAGTGTCGATCTCTAGACTATCAAAACTTTTGTTGCTCTTCATATATTTTGTCAAGCTTCATTTAGATGGGTTAAGGTACAATTTTAACCCCAATCTTATTTCTCAGGTGCAATTTTGCCCCTGATCTTTTTATTGGTGCAATTTTGATGCAAAAATTGCATCCAAAAAAAAAAGTTCAGGAGCAAAATGGTGTCTGAAAAATACGATCAGGGACAAAATTGCACCACCGAAAGATTAAGGGCAAAATTGTATCTGAAAAATAAGATTAAGATCAAAACTGCACCGTAACCCTATTTAGATCTCTAAAACAATATTGGGCTTGGAATCTTCCAATTTCTTATTTTCTTGTTAGATGCTACTCTTCCGGTCCTTAATGTAAAAGCTACTCAACTAATTTGAGTAGATTAAGGACGTTAAATAAATTATAGATTCTAACAAATAATCCCATGTAACGATAGATTATATATTAGTTTATGAGTTAGACAAGTTAATTTGGGAAAAATTAATAAATACAAGAGATAAAATGGATTAATGCCTACATTTAGGACCAAAATCAACTCCCTAGATCTTTCATTTAGGAGTGTATGTCTTCTCCTAACAATATAAACTTGAATTAGTTTTTGACATGGTGTCAAAACATTCATGAAAAATAGTTTGGAGTTTGATCCATGTTGCCCTATTCCCATAATCAAATTAAAGATCAGATCAATTTATGGTGGGCCTACGCTCTGTGAATGTGCAAAGCCCAAATTTTCCACATTGCTATTGGATGAGAGAGTTGGGGGAGACATTGAAATTCTGGCCACCATATCAACTCAAGAGCTTAACTATTAAGTGAAGGCCTATAGATTTCCTTATATAATCTTCAACATTAACCACTCAATGTTTCGATCCTTAATAGTTTAAGCATTTAGGATGCTAGGTTATCGTGAGTACTTTTCTAAATATTTGTTTTTGTACTTGTGATATTGCAGCTCGAAGATCATGTGTGGGATGAATATGGTGAGAACGATGATCATATAGTGCCCCATGCTGGTGATGACCATAAGGAACAGTTTGCAATACAGGGAGATAGCTGCAAAAGACCCTGCCAGGAATTGTATAATAGTAAAAGTGCTGATAACGTTAGTAGCCACTATAGTCATGAGAAAGAGAAATTATATTTGATGTCTCGGAAGGAAAACATGATGGAAAAGAATTCATGGTCTCAAACACCTGAAGGTGTGTTACCTTCATGCAATGCCGACGCTAGTGAAGAAGTGAAAAGACTAGCATCAGATGATATAGGGATGTCTGATCGTTGTTTCAAGAGCTGCAATATGGATTCTAGTGGTAGTGAGCTTTGTGCTGATGATACTATTTTGGGAGACAAGCGTGTAGTGAAAGATGATAGTTTGTGTCAATATCCAATCAACCACATATCACAGACTGACAGTGAACTCAGTTTTCTTGATAACGATGGGTGGCTTGATATTGGAAACTTTGAAGACGTTGACCAGATGTTTAGGTAGTGAGATCTCCTACTTGACTCAAGTTTTAATATTCTCACCTTTACCTTTTTTGAGTGTCACTTTTAAAATCGCAGAAGTTGTGATTCAACATTTGGATTGGGGAACCTTAATAATGAAGAGGAGTTCTGCTGGTTCCCATCTTCACACAACACGGAAGGATTCGATGAGGCATTGAAGTCTGACTTCAAATTTTCATGTGCTGAAGCAGGTCCAATGAAAGTTTTGTCAGATTATAATTTAGATTCCAAACCAGATGTTGAAGGTCCGCCAATGCCTGGTTCCAACGGAACAGCATCTCCTGTTGATAGAAGACTGAGATGTCGAATTGATGTTGATGATGATGCTGTCCCTGGTTCATTGTCAATGTTAAATGAACTAGACATGAAATCTGGTAATGCGGATGACTTGGAATTCAAAGATAAGGTGGGTGCAGAATGCTATTTTATTTTCTGCTTTCTGTAATATTTAACTTGGATTCTTTAGTTCTGAAATTTGAATTCTGGAGCTACAATTTTATGTACTCTTTATTCTAAAGACTCAAAAGGCGTGGTTCCTGCACAACTCTTAAATGGATTAGAAGTAATGATTTTGACACATACTCGTGATAAGTTGATGGTTTTTAATAATAGTGAAATAAATCATTGAGGTCTGATAATAAAAGTGTGTTACAGAGCAGGAGGAAGAACTGTTTGTGCTTGATATCTCAGTTGTATGATGTTGAGGTTTATTTATTATGGAATTCTGTGTACTTTATCTGAGTATATTCATCCATTTCAAAGAGTTTTTTCGTCTATGTATTCAAATATTACTATCATCGCATGAAATTTTAAATCAACAGAAATTTCTAACATATTTAGTCTTCGTAAGCATTTGGTGAGATGATGGCAGGATCTATGATAACTAGATGTTTTTTAATCCTGACTGGAGCTATGATTGGTATTGAGTGTCATGAAGGGCAATTAACACTTAATTCTCCTCCTATTATGTGCTTATGTCATTTTGTGTTTTGGCATTTGTGCGATGGCAAATGGCAATGTAAAAGTGGGCTTGATCTTCTGTAATATAAAAAAAAATTGATCTTTTTTCGTTTTTGGTATTTTGTTAAATTTATCAGGTTTGCAGTGTAGACTTTTTAGTGTGAACCAGTCTGCACATTGCAGGCGTATGAATCATCTGCAAATGTTGATTCTACAGTGACAACTTCTGTCAGCTTAATTTGAGCGATCCATTATGTAATTAAATGTTCCTTGATTTGTATCTCATGAATTATAGATGCAAAAGAGGCTGTCTGAGGCATCCGAAGGAAGAATAGAAGATGTCTGCTTGGAAAATGGTGACTCTTTTCATCATTTTTCTCCTCCAACTCAATATGAAGATGTGAAGCAAGCCAATGAAACCTCTTCCGGTGGGGTTAATTCTTATGCTAGCATACTGAAACAGAAACGAAACCTAAATTCCAGTGTACTGACTGAAGTTCCCCTGACAGTCCCAGACTATGGTAATGGACCGAATCACACTTCTCTCTTTCCAACTTCATCTGGATCCAGATCTGATCTTGAAGGCAATCCATCTCCTCTAAAAGAATCATCCTATGCATCAAACATGGCTAGTACTCGCGGTCATTCCTTGCAAGATGCTTCTTTAAAGACAAATGAAAAGGGAGAAATGTCGTACCACAGTCATGATGCACCAGCACTATCCAAGAGTTCAAAAAGTCAAGATATAGTGAGTGTAGCACCATTTAGCAGTCCAGGTTCAACTCAACAGCAACTGGCTCAGTTTGAAAATGAGAATGAAGGTCATAGTGTAGTGAGAGGAGTTAAAGTAGGGTTTTCAAAGGAAATAGACTCATCAAATGTGCAGGAAAGCTCATCCATGAGCTCTGCAATGGAGGAAATCTCCCTTGAAGCTACCAGCTTTCGTCAGCTACAGCAGGTCATGGATCAGGTACTGAACTTTATGACGTCGAAACTTGATCTTGTTTCTTATATTATCCATTGTTAACATGCTCTGCATTTAAATATAATTTTGCTCAGCCATATAAATGTTGTAAATATATACTACTACATGTTAGGCTAACTTCTAGAGTATTATTAACGAGTCTGGATCAAAGAAAAATGTATCATGGGTGAGCAGGGGGGGAATGAAGGGAAAAAGGGATGGGGGTTCTAAATATAGTTTTCTTCATTTCATCTCATGCTAGTGAACTCCCCTTCTAAGTGGTCCCTAATTTGGAGAAGTTAGTTGAAGATGAAGGATCATGTCATATCAGAAGAATGGTAAAAGGATAGAAGATAGAGAATTATAACAAACCTTGATATTCTTTGAAATTTAAACCTGTGTAAAATGAATATCAATTTTGACCTCTTATGTAGTCAGCCTCAATGTTTCAGATGCATATGGTTTTTCCAGAATGAGTTTTTAAGGAGCAAATTCTAAAACTACTGTTGCAAAATCTCACCGAAACCTTGAGTTTTGAAGCTTAAAGGTTCTTCATTTTTCAAAATCACAATGCCTTTAAGCAAATCAAGGAGTTAAACCTTAGCCCAACCGATTGACTGCTTTTTCCTGGGATTTATTACTTGAGTCCAGTGGCTTTAAGGTGAATCCCACTCCTAGAATTTTTTGATAAATCAGTGTTTGAGGTTGGGATTGTTGTCTTCATTTTGAGGATCAGTTGATGCTCTGATTGTAACATAGCAGAGGTCTTGATACGATTGAATGCGAAGCACTGCATAAATTGCTGATCTTTGGGACACAATAATGCATGGAAGTTTCTTTTCCTTTAGATTTAGTGGTTTGGCTTCTTTGCTTTAGTGACGAATTGGAGGTGAGGTCGCGATTCCTAGGTTGTTAAGCGTAATAGTGATCCCAATATTGATTTTATCTCTGTAGATCAGTTGGGTGACATGAAAAAACACTAGGCAGATTATGTTGGTACATCATCTAGGTACAAGTGAGGGGGGTGTGCTAATTTTTCTGTTCCGTGTGCTTACTCAACCTCTTTATTTTTTAGGTCTGGGATTTTAGTTGAATTGTATGCTGGAAAGTGGAAATTCCATGCATGATTCCTGTGAAAAAGCTTTGGGAACAGAAATAGAAACCTTCTGGGCCAAAAATTCGGGAGCAGCTAGCTGATAAAAAACTATTATTTTGTGTTCACTATGCAATGTGGCGAGTGTTTTGCTTTACGTAATTTATTCTATTTGGGTATGCTGTTTACATAATCTTAGTCTTGATTATATATATACATATATATATATTAAAAGAGTGTCCTTATATTATGTTAAAGAAAATAAATTAGGATGGTACTCCATGTTGTAGTACCAATAAGATGTCTACATTACAATCATTGATCACAACTTGTCAATTGACTACTCTTGTATACAACAAAATTTTCTTGAGTGCAGTTGGATATTAGAACCAAAATGTGCTTAAGAGATAGTTTATATCGCTTAGCTAAGAGTGCTGAACAAAGACATGCTTATCCAAATACAAATGGTGGCGATGGAGATGATGTTGAAGCTTGCAAAGCTATGGTGCAGGATCCAAGCAGGTAGTTTCTTACGTTTTCTTATCTACTCAGGTCAATATTTCCTTATTAGAGGACCGGCACAATGGTTAGAATGTTTGTGTAACATTATTACCTGTTATGGTAATGTAGCTGATTTGATTGCTTTCTTCTTTCTGCTTCTCTGGCACCTGTAACTAGTTAAAGATGTAGTATTCAGCTTTCATGTTGCACGCTAGCAGAAATAATGTTTTATTGTTTGAAATCTTAATTAAAATGGAACATGACACTTAAGATGGAGCAAGGACAATGTCATGAATGAATGTTGAGTGTTGGATTATGCTTTAATGATGCCACTCGATGTACGTACTGAGGCTTTGATAACTTGGCAGACAGACCTAAGGTCTAGGACATATTTGAAACTTTTGAGATTTGTTTGTGATTTGTACTTTGAGACAATAGGGGGTCATGAACGTGATTCTAATCCCTACCTTGTCTCTTTTCCACTTGCTATTCCAAGGCCTTATGTCTCCTTAGTAGTCCTCAAAGAGGCTTGTTCTAGGGATGCCAGCCATATGATAAATGTATCCATTGGCAACTTGGCATCTAGCATCTGATACTTTTATCTTTTCCGCGTCTGTGCTTCTACCAGTTACCATTTAATGTTATCTGAATCAATGTTGTGATTGTGCAAATGTTCAAATAAATTTTAGGGTATTTGGTACATATCTGTCTCTGATTTGAAGTGTATTTGGTAATAGTGATGCATTATGAAATATACGTTTCTCAAGGTAGGAAAGAGGATACGCACAAGCACATTTTTGAATTCCTTTCTTAGCTTGCTGAATGCTCTTCTCTGATTTGTTTGGATATCCATTGGGTTTTTCAGTGTTGACTGACGAGTCTTTCCGCCAAATCTAACACTTGGCTTTTTGCAGGTGCACTGGACTCATAGATATGGAAACTGACACTAATCCTATAGATCGGTCTATAGCACACTTACTTTTTCACAGGCCCTCTGACCCATCTAGGTTGCCTCGTGAAGATACTTCACCTTTCAAATCCAATGTTATGGTATGCTTTCATGTGTACATTTAGTGTGTCAACAAGGTAGGTATTTGTTGTTTGCTGCTGCCAGTCTCATGTTCAGGGTTTGATTTACAGCAGATGCATGGATCAGTGACCAACCCACCAGTGGGGACTGAGAATCAAAAGGAAGCTACTAATGGAGTAAATCAAAAACCTTTCGGAGGTTGATGCCCACTGAAAAGTAAGGTTAGAGTCTGCGTTTATTTGTGGTGCATTATGTCTTATTTAAATGTCATCATAAATGATAATGTCATCATAAATGATGATGTACTGGTCTACTTGGATTGGTTGTTAATCTGTAAAACATTTTTGCATTCTTCATTGTGACAGATACATGTTGGGCAATCCATCCATGTTAACATGTAGCCTGCCTCAGCCGCCGCATTTATTGTACCAGATTTTTGTTCCCCATGGCCAGGCTCCTTGTATTTATGTTTCACTAATCAAGTTTACATTATTGCAGGAATAAATATTCTCAGTGTTCACCCAAAGCGACTGTTCCACCTGATGGGTTTGACAGGTTTCGTACTCATTTTTCTGTGTTCCATTTCTGCGCAATTACATGTTTGCCGAATGCTGGAGTTTTATTCTTCCTATTGTTTTAGGATCATCATAACTTGTGTTATTTCTGAGGAACTCACTACTCTTGAACAAGAGGCATGGGGAAACTCATCTTGCCATATTCTCACTTCATTTTCTGCTTTCCTGCACTTTGTCCCAATGCTTGTTCTCCCAAGTGTATGCCTTTTGGTATCTATTGCGTTGTGTTCTGTATTACGTGACCATAATCTCTGTCCACATGATGGCGGTTGTAAGTAAATGCTTCCAATTTTATGATCAGTTTGAGAAACCTACAAGTGTAATTAAATTATCACATGTAAGTATTAGCGAATGATTAGCTGCTTATAGCTAAAATTTTGACTACTTGGTTCATTCATGGTCAAATATCAAGTTAAGCTCTCAATACGTTTTCAATTGCAGAAGACCTTAGGCTGGACTCTGCTGCCTGACTTAGGGTCCAGCCTGAACCAAGCCCGCTGGGCTGGGCTTGGTCTCCCTGATTGGGACAGATCCTACCAAAGCAGCCCATATCTAGCGTTAAAAAGTAACTCAGAAGAAATAAACAAAACAGCAAAAACATCACCTTGGTACTATATTTTTATGGGAAGTTTCAATCAATCCCTTAATTTTGGTTTCAAATATGTTCTTTGAAGTTGAAATTTCGAATTCTTCCTCTTCAGTGTGCGTGTTGAATTTTTTTCCGGAAATGTTACGTTCTCCCATAATTCTTTCTCGACAGACAAGTCTTCCTCCTTCTTTGTTTTTACCAAACTACCCTTCCTTCCACCGTACTATACTTCTTGACACGAGATCTTCAAATTTTTTAACTCTCTTGATGGTTGGAAAGCTGCAAAGGCTGGATAGATGACGACAAGGAAAAGCTCGTGTCAAGGAGAGTGATAAAAAAGGATAAAACCGGCGATTATTCTCCACTTGTCTTTTGGATGCATGGGGACGGTAACCAAGGTGGCCATCAAAAGATCAAGTGAAAAGAGACTGTAGGAAGAGAGATGTTGGAGTCAAGCGGATAACATTCTCCACTTGTGTTTTTATAACAATGTTATTTTCGAGGACGAAATTGAAACATATTTCAAAATTAAATTACACATTTGAAACTCAAAGTAATTTAGGCATGAGATTAAAACGTCCTCAAAGATAAGGTAACTAAATGATGCTTTCATCTAAGTACAAGGTTGTACAAAATATGATATGGAAATTTGAAATGTCACCTAATTAAGTTGGTTATGATCTCAAGGCTTCTAGCATATAAAATTTTAAAGAAAAAAGGGTGAAAGAATAACAAGTTTCAAGTTGAGAGCTATCACCAGGTGTTTGACGAAGGAAATATTCTTAAGTAACAAACACTTAAAAAATGCAATAGAGACAAATTGAACGTATAATTCTTTCCCTCTTATAATCAAGCCGATTACGACAAAGTCACATTTTATGAAAGTGGAATGTGTTGTAGAAAAATATAAGTAAGCATGGCGTTCATTTAAATTTTTCGGAAATGTAACTTTGTCTTGTCATTACAAGTTTTGTCCATTACTACATTTTCCCCCTCCCCCTCAAAGAGCCTCAGGTTAGTAACCTGAAGTGAGATTCAGACTTTCAATCAAGAGTGTTAGCTAGCAGTAATGACATTCGCCATTTTGCCACAGCCACTGAAACAAACCAGAGCCTTTGGAAGGGACTAAGTCGACGAAGAAAGAACAAGCAGACAATTTTAACAGTTCATTAGTGCATGATTGGTTCTTAAACCATCGTGAAGCCAGCAACCAATATATGGTGTAATAAATATATGTAATGCAATTCTACGGTCAAGAAAAGGTACATCAACTTTGACAAGTGGTACATAAGCATATTGTAAACTACACGACCCTAGAGGCTACATTCATTTGATTCCTTCTTCAACATTCTTTAACCACAAATGGTATTTCAATTGTAAAAAAGTGGTCAGAGGCATGGTACATCAAGTAGGGATCTTGATAATCTCGGATACTGCTAATCAAATTGTTGTCGCAACTGCATCTCTGTTTCACTTTTCCAAGTTGCATGAGACGACTGGCCCTTCATCCTTTTGGATTTTTCCTTATCTTTGATAGCTGATCCCTTCTTCTTAGACTCTGCGCTTGAATCCTGTGGAGGGCGATCGCCACACACAGGGCAGACCATTCCTCGTGCACTGGAAAATGTCTTGGGAATTCCACACTGCAAGCACATTCTAAAGAAAAGGCCAAAATCTCGGATTAGAAGCGAAGCTATGAAAGGCATGTATCCGCAGATGCATGTAAGTTGAACACGAGGCAAGATCAGAAATGAAATGTCACTTCTGCTAATCCCTCATTCGTTCTGAAAACTCAAATTGATGTCCTATTGTCCATTTAGAGCATCTCCAAACAGTAAAACCATATTTGGGTCGATGCCATTATCAATTCCACACCGCAAAAAAAATTTCGTATAATCTCGGTGGCCGAGAGTATGATATTACACCTCTTCATGAGGATAAAATATTCCATACCCCAATGACAAATCATAATTGTGGGCATTAAAGGGATGCAGCAAAATCTATTCGAGTGGCAAGGAGATGAGCATAATGCCATATTTTGAGGATCTAAGTAGGGATTGTGTCACCTCCAACATATGCCTGCTTAAAATGCTTTTACAGCAAGAATGCTAAGTGCTTTATGTACTCGCTACATCCAGCACTGCTTGATACATAGAAACCAAATATATATATATATATATATATATATATATATCAAAATTTCCATCAGTTACTAAGGGGACCATGCATTACCTCAAAAGGTCTGCAGCATCTTCTGCATTAGGATTGGTCACAGTTGCTACCCTCTTGACTCCTGATGATGCATCCGAAGCAGCTGGCATTGGTGGTTCGCTACCATTGATGTCAGTTCTTACCCGCTCATGGATTCCAACAAGTTGAGGTTTAGACTCAACCACAGCACCTAAAACAATACATTCGTATCTTTTTGTAATGAATACTTGATAGGAATCATGATACTCATGGAGAAACTGATTAAACCAGAAGAGAATCAAGAACATTCACGTCATAGTATTTAATCAAGTACAGGCTGAGCTGACACATCATCTTGACGTATCAATATTTAGCAAGTGATCCTCTCTCTCTACTACAGCTATAATAAATCTTATTTCATTAAGTGAAGTTAGCTACAAGGATCACACAACAAAATTGCGCCTTTCATTTAAACCATAGAGTTTCAATAGTCTTGCGTTAGTTGTTGAGGGCTTAACACAATTCCCTTCATTTGTACAAGCCTAGAAAGGACGATAAAACATAAGCAGAGTTAAGTGATCCTATCTTGATATTCCCCACAGCACAAATATTTAGCAGCAATTTAAGCAATGGCAAATTACCACAATTTTTTTTTTTAAAAAAAAACAATGGCTGCCAAAAGCATTTTTCCCAAGGGTCTTTACTCCTTAGCATTTGAATTGAAACAACATCCTCACAATTTGCCGAAGGCTCCCAATAAAATCAAATAACAAAACAAAGGAAGCAAAAGAACATATTAGCTTGAAAGACTTGTCCAATTTACATATTCATCTTATAATGAGTCATCATCTATAATGACTTTTTGTGCTAATTTTTTTCACCATGAAGTATTCTGCTTTTTTTGTGCGATCCATGTAGCCGACCCCACCTAGGCTTTGTTGTTGTTGTTGTTCAAGTATTCTGCTTTTTTTTTCTTGCAATTTCACGATTTGATTTTTCATCTGGAAAATTATAGATAATATGATCGTGGCACAATACTTCTTAGGTTGCTTGTATCAATGTGGATCTCTAGCAATACTAAAATATACTCTATCATGTCCTATCTTATTTACCCATCACAGACTGACTTTAACCAAAACTTCTAAAGCGGAAAGACAAAATGTGTTTCAAATAGTCTGAAAAGATGCAAAGCATATTAAAAAAATCCAACAAGCAGAATGACAAAACTGTATAGGGAAATATAATTTGACATTAATTAGAAGACCTAATAGAGCAAATGCAGGTTTTGCTGAAAAACCGTTACATTGATACACGGAAGAGCAGCCTAACCAATATTATGCATAATTTTCCAAATGAAAAATCAAATTGTACGTTTAGGGGTAGATAAGCAGAATGGCAAAGACATTGTAGTTCAAAAGGGAGATAGACTAGAAATTTAGAATCAACATGCAACATTAGAACAAAAAATTTGATCATGGACGAGTGCTTACTAGACAGGAACCTGCAGAAGGATTTATATGCTTACCTTAGCTGGAATTTAACCGTTCCAATTTAACAGCTTTAAAGCTCTAAGAAAAAAATTACATAATCTATACTCAGAAATCAATATTTTTTTGTTTGCTTAATAAATTGACTTTCTTTTATCATTATAACTATCACGTTAATAGTTGCTTAACGAAGTGACTTGCTTTTAGAGTTCATCATTGTAGAAGTAAATCACAATATAAAAAGGAAAGATGTCAGAAGCTGAACATTTCAATGCACTAGTGATGTATGAGAGGAACAAAAAGTACCCAAAGTTCAATAGTTCCATACACCAAGATACTCAAGGGTGATACCTAATAATTCTGATAATAGGCCTATTGGTAGGCATTCTAATAAGAAGTACTAATAAATGTAAATGTCAACCGAAAGTCTAAATCTTACCGGGAGGCATATGAATGAGCCCGCAAAAGAAAAGGGCAAAAATACTGCACTTTACCTGCAGGTAAGTCCTTCTTCTCCTTGCGATGCCTCCGGCCACCATGCCTCCCTTGCTGTTGATCAGCTTCTTTAGCTGGGTTATATTCCTCCACGCTATTGTTCAGAAATTGAGGCGGCCCAGAAACCTCCAGAATGAAACAGAATCATTCAGGTATTCAATAAATGACAACAATGAAGCATCCTTTTCCTGCTTCCGTATTCCAGACGAAGGGAAGACAGAATACTCTATTTCATCCCAGGAAACAGTACCAATTTCAAATTTCCCACATTTTACAGAGAAATCACGGCAACCAAACGATAATTAAAAAGATAGAAATTAAGGGCGAAATTACTTCGGAGAAGGCGTCGAATGCAGAAGGAAGCCCAGCAGCGGCGGAAGGTTTTGGAAGGTCGAACATAGATCTGTCGCGAAGTGAAGGGTGAGCAGCAACGGACGCTTTACCGCCGTCACTGTCGCCGTCGTCGCCGTCGTCGTCCGAGGAATTTTGGTAGTAGGTCCCATTACCGACGGCTTCTTTTTCTTCTTCTTCTTCGGCCGAAGAATAGCCTTGGAGAAGAGCTAAGCTCATTGGATCCTCGGAAAGCTCCGAACTTCAGCAGAAAAACGAACCCTACTGCGTTACTGAAGACACAGCCAGAAATTATGTACACAGGTGATGGTCCGGACGAGGAGGGGGTGAGGAAAAAAATGAGGAAGATGAAAGAGTAAACCACTCATAATTTTTTTAAAAAAAAATCTTCAAATTTTTTTTATCAATTAAATTTCTGAAATTTTACACACAATTTTATATTTTTAATCAGATTTCATCGGATCAATAATTTTTTTCTGCAAGAGCTCATCCCTATGTTAATGGTTAGATACATGAATGGTGGGCATTTATAGGCCAAAAACAAATGTAATTAATAGCTTTAAAGATTTAATTGATAAAAATTAAATTTTATCCCTATGATTGTAAATATTGGAGCTATTCAGGGATTAGTTTTAATCTTAAATTTTATTTTTATATTTAATTTTTTTTAACTAATTTAGGTTACCCATAAAATAGTCATCGATATATAATTTAATATCACATAGAATTATTTTAAGAAAATTATATGATATTTATTATAAATAACTAATTATTTAATTTTTTATAATACTCAAATTAGTTAAGTGTTACTCCTCTGGTCCTATTTATAGAGTAAAGAGAGAATTTTTTTTTTGGTTATATTTATAAGTCATTTTATTAAATTTTTATCATGAATGTACTATATTATCCTTCATTTATTGTAGCGTAGATAGTTATTTTTTTTTAAAAGGGGTATATCTTAAATAGGGATAGCGTTGGAAAGTTGTTATATTTTAATAAAGATTTAGTACAGTTTGAAGTTTTTATTGATTTGGGTAAACTGTAAAACATATTGGAAGTACCTTATAAATAGGACCAGATGAGTACCTTCTATTCTAAATATAATATTTAGTTTATAGTGTAATTTGTAGAAATTACACTATAAATTAGATCTTATATTTAAAATTAGAAATTATACTATATTTTACCATAGTACAACCTAGCGAATTACATTACACAATAACCTAGTGACATATAAATTTATCTATAAATGAGAAGTCGGGTTGAACTGTTGAGACTAAGAAATGAGAAGAAGCAAAAAAAGAGAATGGGAAAGGGAGAACAATCTAGAGCCATTTGTGTCTACCTCTTTGTAACTATTGACCTTTTCTTTTCTTTTCTTTTTTTTAATTTAATAAAATTGTGTCTGTTTTCTTTAGATTTTTATACCAAGTAAAACCTCCCAATTAAATCCGAACCATCAAAATAAAATATAGACGATATACATCTGATGAGTTTAAAATACTTATCAAAATGATGAGTAGTGAAACTGAGTTCACTTATCTATAAGTGAGAAGTCAGGTTAAACATGAGACTAGAAAATGAGAAGAAAAGGAAAGAGAACGGGGAAGGGAGACAATCTTGAGCCATTTGTGTTTGTCTCTTTAATTTTTTTAACAAAAATTAAACAATTACCGGATGACTAGTTTGATTTTATAAATATTGATTTTTTTTTTCAATTTAGTGAAATTGTGTCTGTTTTCTTTAAATTTTTATACCAAGTAAAACCTCCCAAATATAGTTCCTTCTCTTTAGTAATTCCACTGGTAATACTCTCTCTCTCTCTCCCCCCTCTCACACATGTGTACGTACTCTTCTTCTTCTCGCTCATCATCCATCATCCATCAATCCAAAATCCAGAAACCTGTAACCCTAGCCACTCAGTTTCTCCATCTGGATCGATCTCTCACCCACATGAGCTCTTCTCTCATCATGCATCAACACCATCAAATAACCTTCTCCCCTCCTCATCATGAGATAAGCTCTCTCCATAACCATAATCACAGCAAGAACAACAATACTTCTAATTCTTCTTCTTCTTCTTCTTCCTCCCCTCCACCTCCTCCATTACCGCAGCTTCAATCACAAGCTTCAAGGATCGTCCAGATTCCAGCAGACCAAGTCTACTGTAGAGTCTTGCCTCCTCCTCATAATAATAACATTTCTTCTTCTTCTGCAGATCGCCAAAATCCATCTAACAATGATGATGATGATGATGATGATACCTCTCGTCGTCACAGATCTAAATGCTTCTCATCCACCAGGTCACGTATCTTCCTCATCTTCATCATTTCTATTCTTCTTCTCATCATTATTGCTTGTATAGTTTACCTCTCACTTAGCCCTAAAAGCCCCACCTTCATCATGGACAGTCTCTCTCTAAAACCAGAAAATGGCATAGTTACGTACAACTTGTCCATGGAAGCTAGTAACCCTAATAGTCATATAGGGTTTTATTATTTGGAAGGTGGGAGTGCTTCGCTTTCTCATAACAAGCAAGAGATAGCTCATGGGACGCCTCCTGAGTTTTATAATGGAAAAAAGGAGACTAGGGTTTTTGACTTGCTGCTCAATTCTTCGTGGGAAGCATTGTCCGAGGTATTAACAGAAACTATTATGAAGGAGAATGATAATGCTGGTGATGATGATAAATATTCAAATGGGAAAGTTCCACTTGTGGTGTTCATTCGCTTACCAGTGAAAATAAAAGTGGGAAAATTGAAGTTGTGGAAGATGAAGATGAAGATCACCTGTGATGTGAGTATTTTTCTGTCATCTTCACAGAAAAGTAATGTGGATTTAGAGCATCACTATTGTAAAAATGCAATACATTGATGAAGATGACAATTAATTAGAGTAACTTTTTTTTATTTTAACTTTGCAATATACATATGTAGATACATTTCAATAACAAATTAGCAGAATTATTATTATTCATCTCTTCTTTTTGGCCTTATTTGTTTTCCTCTCTGGCTTGCCTGATGTTGCAGACATATATTGTTTTATATGTTCTTTCAAAATGCTTCCCGCAAACCAAACAGGGCCTATATATAGTCTGTACAAAAGGATTATTGACCAACAAGGGCATATTATACCAATAAATACTGGTCCAAGTGGAATGGATTTGAGTACCTTAAATATCATGTTCTAGGTTCGATTATTGAGACGGTGTGTATGGGAAAAAAAACATTATTGGGAGGGTTCCCGTTGTAGTGCCTGATAGTATTTTGAGAGATTAGTCTCTTACCGTTCAGGTGAAAAGATATTCTGGGTAACCAAAAAAAAAAAAAAAAGGAGCATGTTATACATGCATGGCATAGCTTTTATATATATGATCCAAATAAATTTTTTATCAAACTGACTTCTATATAAAAGCTTATTCAAACATAAATCATATTTTACTAATTGACTTTTATCTCAATTTCATTTTACAAAGGATTAATTAGTACTACTTTCGATTCTAATTATAAGAACTAGTTGACTAATTTGAGGATATTAAGGAAAGAAGTTAAGTTAGTTATTTGTAATAAATATGTATTGTCTTTTATAAAATATCCTTGCTAATCAAGTGTATTGGTTAGAGTAACTATTCTTAGAAGGACTACATTATGAAAAAATACATAAATATGAGAAACAAAGTGGATGTGAGTGTTATATATAGGACCAAAATAAAAGTCAAACAAGATCTTATATTAAGGACCGGAGGTAGCATAAGAGTCCATTTCATAAATAGTAATATTTGAGAGATTTTTTTTTTGCCAAAAGAGGAAAGAATGATTTGATCAAACAAAAAGTTTCATATCAGATAAAATCAGGTTAAATGAGAGGTATATAAGTAAAAAAAAAAAAAATTCATAAACTTAATGCCTTTAAATCTTGAGTTATACACACATATTGTAATCATGCAGTATCAACACAATATGCATCAATGGAACAAATTAAATTATCTAAACAAGATTGTTCTTGAAAATCAAGCAAACAACCATTCAATAAAGGAGACGGGTCCATTGGATGCGAGATAAAACTGCTGTTGCAATTTTCTCCAATAACAAATTATAGGTTTAACTAGTTAGGTAAATAAAATGTACAAACCTGTCTATTTTTTTACCAGAAAAATATACAAACCTTTCTTGTTAATTAGGTTGATGAATTTTTTTTTTGGGGTAAAAATACAATTTTTTTGTCAAAGATAAAAAGGCAATTTAATTCAAAATGAGCAAAACAATCACATTCAGTCAATTTAAGCAAATCCCAAATAAACTAAAGGAGAAGGTAGGCCCAAAACATCTAAAAGTTGTAAAGAACATACAAAGCAACTACTAACAAAACAAAACCAGATTAGCTATCCAAAGACCAGCCTAAGTTTGAGTACTATCTTCTCCCAGTTGCAACACCATCAAAAAAGACAGTTTTTTGAAGTCCCAAAAACCAAGAGTAGATATTACTCAACAAAATCAAAAGAATAGGGACATAAGAGAACGCTACTGTGGACTGCCATTTCACACTGGTGACCCACGATCTTTATAGCTTTCAAGCTATTAAAAGGGGTCACAACATTGGCTCGCTAAAAAGACAAATTTGGCTTATCAGACACAAAAAATAAAAAATAAAAAAATGTCGAGAACCTTGATGAAGCAATGCTGGAGAGCTTACCCGAAATGGCAAATACACCGAAGAAGAAACTGAAGAAGGTCTCTTTTATGGATAACACACTTTCTAGTTAATAAGAGTTGGTCCAGTTGATAAGGAGTCGATTCATAATCCACAAGGTTGTGAGTTCGAATCCCGCTACCGACATGAGGACTACGTTGGTGGGCGATCTGTAAATACTTTTATAAGCGCTCTCTGAGTCTGAAGGCGTGTCCTGATTCTAGTGAGTTTTTGGGACCCAATTCATCTAAATTTTTTTATACTAAAAAACACTTAATTTAATTTTTTTTTCCCGAAAGAAACATATCCATAAGACTATTTGTTATATTGAATTCCTTGCTCTCCCAACACAAGGACGAGCCCGCTACATGCAAACTACTTCTTTTTTCCCCCAAAAGCTATTTGTGAAAAGACGGTAATAAAAGTGATTTTAATTAGCTTCCATATTCAAAGTATTCTCTCCTACAGCTAAAATAAATCACTGGCCAAAAAAAAAACAGTCACTTCAACTATATTTTGATTCAGGAAATTTCGGCAAAAACAGAAAAGAATCAGGAAAATTTTGTTATATTATTACTTGTTATTTTCAAGAAAATATAGAAACTCAGGTCAATCAATTTGATTACTTTAATGTTTTTTTCGCGAACTCTAACCCATTTAGTCCATTCTCTTAACTGTGTTTTGTCGACACCAGACATATTTAATTTGAATGCTCAATCTCTCATGAATGGAACTCTCTCATACATAAATACAATTAATAAATATTAGTTTTTCAGACTTCATTTTTATGAAATTTTTACAGGCTTTTAACAATACATAAAATACTCAGCTGGTCGAGAATACAAAATTCTATTTCAATAAAAAAATAGACGTTAGATTTTAATCACTATAAAGTTGATAATTATTTTTCTATATTTTATAATAATGGCAAAAAAAAAGTCGAGCACTCTGGTAGGGTAATATTCCTTTTCATAAAGATATAAACAATTTTTTTGAAAAAAAAAATTAAGGGCGGCGAAGAAGAAATAGTATACAATTCCGTCTTGTCTTTTCCCTTCTTATACTGTATTTGGACAAAACGTTAAAACAAAATTGAAAAATCAGCTAAAACTTCTAAGGCTGAATTCAAAAATCAGTGAGTAATTAATTTTCTAAACGGATATTTAATTATTTATGGATAATTTTTTCGCCAATAAATTTTTATCTTCCACCAAAGACAATAGCCCAAAAATACCGTGGCACAACTGGAAAAATGAAATTAATAAAAAAAAAAGCTATTTACACGCTTTGTTTGACTATTTTGACCATGAATCATTGAATTGGAGGGGCCGGCTCTCCGTTCGTTCTTCAACGAACGAACCAATCCCTTCCCGAACGGACAAGTCTGCGCATTTCGCAGGCCAACGTCGTCGGGTCTTTGATTCATCTCCTGGCAACCTCTTTGACTCCATTTCGACCCGTTTTGATTGATTGAAGCTTTGTCTTCGTTTCCCACCAAGCTCGGCGCTTGTGGGTGGGGGTTCTCTGCGATTATGGCGCCCGCCATGGATAAATTCCTCCACAAGCTCCGCAATTTGGACGCTTACCCGAAAATCAACGAAGATTTTTATAGCCGCACTCTATCCGGAGGTGTTATCACCGTCGTTTCCGCCGCGGTTATCCTCTTTTTGTTCTTCTCTGAGCTAAGTATGGACCTCCGATTCCCCCTTCCTTTTCTTCTTCTTTATTTTTTTTTTTTATTTTTTTGATTGTTTTCAGAAGGTTAATGCGTTTGATCACCTGATTGCGACGCCCTAAAATGTAAAAGAAAATGAAGGGCCAATATCTACGGTTGGGATCCTAAGGAAATCGTCTCAGTTCATCTCTTTTGCGTGGCCTTTTGGCTGCATCAATTTGAAATATAAATTTTCAGCGAGGAGGGAACTAACAAAAGAATGATCTTTTAGAAGTTGGAACGGAATTTACCTCCTTTGTCCCCATCTTGTTTTTGCCTCCCCGCCCCGTCTCCTTTCCGGCAATCACATCGCAGAAATTTAATTGGTGATGCTACCTTGTCAATGCGTGTATAACGATATATCTCCGCTAGCTGGTTATACAAATCAGGCGCTTATGATTTTGTAATAACGGCGTCCTTTCAAATTTGTGCTTTAGCTCTATTTAGTTAGGAGAGTGGGTTCGTTGCCATATTTCACTTAATTGTTGAGTGCCCAGTTTCACAACCAATGTATAAATTATGTCTTCTGAAGAAAAAAAAGGTTATTCAAGAAAAGTGTAGAAAATCATAAAGATGGCTTTGAGCTATATTTGCATTTATCTTTATATGTTGGATGGAAAATTTCCTAATGCTGGCCCTTGATATATGAAATGTTTCGAGTTACTAGGCTCATCAGCTTCACTTCTGATGCTGTAACTGTAATTAAAGCTGTTGAGCCTATTTTTTTGCGGTTAACTATTATGGCTATGTATGTACCACTCCAGGTTTAACAATTGATAGAATAGATGAAGTCTGGTCTGACGTTTAAATAGTTTATTGAGGCCATTTCTTTTGCTACTAATATAGGTGATGTGACTAAAGATTTGCCATGAGATTCTGTTGACGTAAGCCATTGATTGCTGTTGCAGGTTCTTACCTCTATACAGTTACTGAGACTAAACTTCTAGTGGATACGTCAAGAGGGGAAAAATTACACATCAATGTAATTCTTGAATTTATAGTTCTGTTATTACTTTAATGTAATTCCTCATGTTCCAAGTCCAATGTTATGGACTATGTGTTGATTCATGGGTTGTAGACAAGAAGTTATCTGTTTGTGTTAATTTGCTGACTTTGGTGATGTATTCATTGAGAGAATTCCATAGATATCCTTGTTCTGTAAATTTTTCTACAAATCATATTATAGCCTGTGATTGTTTTTCTCACCATTGTGCTTGGAAGTGCAGTTTGATGTCACTTTTCCTGCTGTTCGATGTTCGATACTGAGTTTAGATGCAATGGATATTAGTGGGGAGCAGCATCTTGATATAGTACGTACTGCATAATATGGCGTTTATCAATTAATTACATGGCGTAGTTGTGTTAATTACAACAGTAGGGGATGATGTCACCCAAGTACTTGACATTATGTTTAACTGCATTCTAATTATTTTCTCTTTCCCTCAGTCCCATATTGATGCTACTGTTTCTG